ACACCACGCGAGCGAGCATGAAGACAAGCCCCCAGCGGATCCATCCGCGGGTTCCTGTGAGCGGCTGTCGTCTCCACTCACATGCACCAAACTTGCCCGAGAGGTCGGTTCCTTCTCCCCTAGCTTCTGTGGTAATGGTGGTTACTCCGTAGATAGGTTCAAAGGGTGCAAGTCTGGGTGGAGATCTCGAAATTTTCTGGCTTTTCTTCGCGTTTACCAGAAAGGTGCGGTGGTCGCCGCAATGACGATGGTGGGTGTGGCTAGATCCCCGATGCTATTCCTCTTTCTAAGGTACTGTACGGAGTACTTTGATGTCTCATGACGGCCCAAGATCCATTCAGTCCATCCATTCCCTTACGACCGAACCAACAGATGGCCAACGAGAACCATGACTGATTGATACCTGGTTGCGATTGACTCGGATTCTGGAACATCGGATTATATGGATGATGATGATGGTGACGATGATGAAGATTACTGTTACAGATCAGACGTGCCTTTTTCTTGTTTTTCTTTTCGTCCTTGGGGTGATGTATGGCCTTCCAATTTCCGAAATGAACCCCCGTGTTTGGAATCAGCCATCATCGAGATTTTCTGACTCATGTCCGCGAAACATTGATCATGGATTAGGGATTGAATCATCGGGTGTAAGCATGAACTACTCAGGCACAACAAGAAACAGCAGAAAGGATGGCGACACAAGAGCTATTCGGAACGCTGGCAACTGGAAGGGGGAGGACGCAGCGAAACCCCGAAGAAATGGAAAAGAAAGGGGGAAAGGAAAAGCAATGGGAGGGAAAGACTCATGGTTTCGCATCCACAGCTTCGGGACGGGAGAGCCGCTGACCTAGCTAGCTATGTACAGTAGGTATGTACTGTACTATGTACTGTACGCTCGACAGTAAACAGAGCTGCTTCTGGTCTTAGAGCTGGGTTTGTATTATGTATTGCGAATTGATTATTCTGACTAGTCTTTTCCTTTTCTCTTTTTTCTTAACTAAATCCATCAAACTAACTAATTATCGTTACTGTTATTCCTCCGATAATTCTGGCCTTTTCTGGCCCCGTCAGCTTGGGTATGGTACCTTTTTCTTACTACTACTCCGTACTTACTATTTTTATTTGGTTTTATTTTGTTTATTTTCTTTTTATTTCTTTTTCTTTTGGGTTACTCTGTATTTACCCTTTTGATTCTCCCTGCTGCTGCTGCTGCGACTGCTGCCACTTTATCTCATCTCTTGTCTGTTTTGTTTTGCTTTTTTATTTTTGAAATTCTTCAGTGGTTCTCAGTCCGTCTTTTTTCTGATTCTCTGATTTAATATTCTATTTTTTAAGCTTTTCTTTTTCAGTTTTCTGTTGACTGTCTGGTCAGATCCTCCCCAATCTTAAAAAGAATAACCCATTTTAGTAAATTAAAATAATCAAAAAATTGCAATGGCAGTAGAATGAAGAAGAATAAAGCGAGGTACTTACCGGTATATATCAAAGTGATGGAGCCCCTTCAACTCTCAACTTGGTTAAATTCTTCAATCCATCCTTCTCCATTCCCTGCCTGGCCATTCAATTGATCTCGCCCTTCTTAAACTTCTTCCTATCTACAGCCAGGACCTCCTCCTTCTCCTCCTCCTTCATCCGCCTCCCTACGTACTTTCGCCCATTCTCTCGCGCCTTCGGTTCTTATCCCGACCTGCCTCTCTCCGTGACGTTACCTACCAGGCCGCGTTCCATCCTCCCTTGCGATACGTCCAGTCTCGCATTTGTTTTCTTTTTCGTTACCGGATTAGACGGAGTTCACTTCCGTGGCACCTCCTTTCCAGGATTACCTCCTTGCGGGCTGCATTAGTCGCTCCGTTTCCTTGGTTGTCGGCTCTTGATCAGATCGCGCTTGATCTCCAATAATTCACCAGCACGTCCCTGCGTGGTTTACCGCGGGTTTGCTACGATCTCGACATATCGAACGGCGAAAAAAGCAACAAAGACTGCAAGTTTTCTCGAAAGGAAATCAAAGTACCACGGCCTAGCCACCGGGCTCAAAATAACCCAGCAAAAACGACCTGTCGACTGGGCTTGAAGGACTCCACATCCTTTCCTCATTCTTACAAGCCCATTTTCTTTAGTACCTTGAAGTCGCATTCCTGCCCTACAGATCTACCTCTCCTCGCTACATCACCCTGTCTCGAGCGTCAGACCTGTGATCCCTCTTAATAAGGATCGCACTTCCGATCTCACCTGCAGCTGCATCATCCGTCCTCTGCATCATTACCGCCTGTTGCCGGGAATCTTGGGTACCTCGCTAGGCGATCTATCAACAAACGCACAGTCACCCTATTAATTGGATTCTCCTATTATTTGATTTTCCATTTATTGCATTTTCGCCTTCGACATTTTTGAAATTAATCTGGCCCCGGGAGAGCCAGACCTGTCCTTTATTTAAGCTTCCGTGAGTACTCCCTTCAATCCCAAGATCTACTTTCTCTCTTCCCATCCACTTCCACCCTCCTGCCTCTCTTGCCTCTACCATCTCACAAGACCAACCTTGACCTCTCTGACCATGGCTGTCTTTGCAGAATCGGCTATGATACCTAAGGATCTCTCAGCCTTCAACATGGGACGCGGAGCTTATGACACCACGGGGGTCAAGAAGCCCGGTGCACCGCCGCCACCCCCTTCGACTCGATGAATCCCTGGAGGACATCTGCCAACCACAATCTGCTATTCTATTGATCTCTCGAGCGAAAAAGTTACTTGTGGTTTTCTTGCACCTGGCGCAGGGGCCCCGGAGTTCTAACGTGACTGCTATGAAGTCGAACTTGTAAGTATTGTGCACCCCGTTTGCGCATTGGCCTGGATCCAGAACTGACCACCCAGTCCAGTTTCTGTATCACTATATCTACCTGATTTTCTTACGCTCTTCGTTGGCCACCTCTGCTTTCGGCATATTCGACTAGGTTCCTAATCATGTCCTTGTCCTTTCCACCATCACCTCGATCATGGACTGACACCGGCTACCTTTCTTCTTCTTGGATCGACTCTTCATTTGACGCCTACACCCTTTTTAATTTTCCGACACGACCTCCGGTCCATGATCTGTTTCATTAAAAGCCATCTGTTTCTTTTACTCGGGTGTTTCATTTTGGCTACTCTAGAATCGGCGTTTCTTATAGACGGACTGGGTTATTGTGCTTTGACTTTTCCTTTTGTGCAGTGGGATACATGGATTGATACCAAGACAGACTAGAACCTCCGACCTCGCGGTCACTTACCTTTTATTGTTATTTCGTCTACTTTTACAGAATACATTTCCTCAGTGGATTTCGTCTCTTCTTGTTGCAGTGTGCGGGTTTTTCATCAAAAGCGCGGATGCATGTATGCTATGCTAGGAATAGGGGAGCCTTTCCTCGACAATAATGATCATTTCGTTGCCCTTGACCAGTGTTCTGTCTCCTTCACTCTCCAGATTGGGAGTCTGGTCTTGCAGGCCAGCTTCAAAGCTTCAGGAATAACCTCGCACTAGGCAGGCTGGACTGCAATCCACTAAGCGGCGATTGCCCCAGGGTTGGCTTGACGGGAGAGCACAGAGCATCTTCAACGTGATTTGCCGGCTTTAAGCATTATCTGGGTGGATCCGTGGTCGAGAATCAGGAAGTTCGAGCGCAGGCTTGCATGTGCTTCTTTTTTGGGCAGCCACCGGGTCCTGCGCAAATCATGTTGTGCAACGTCGGCTTGATGACAGCACGGGGGCTGCTGCCACTGGGGAAATGACTCTCTCCAACTTAACAGGCTGACAGGCGATTCTGACCGTTGGAGGGAGGGAGGGAGGAAGAAGGGGGTGGTGGGGGGGGAGGCGAGGGAGGGAGGACCCTCTTTTGGCACGTCATGCTCGGATTTCATGGCATGTTATCGGACACTGTTGGTTCCCTCGTGCTTTCGACGTAAAGTCGGCTTGCCTTAGTTCCTAGCTGCTACTTTCTTAGTTGCTTTGAGGTTGCTGGGTTGGGCTAGATCGCTTGTCGCCCAATGAGAGGATTTCGATGTACTTTGAGGTCTTTGATCACCAGAAAAGTTGATCTATCGCCTTTACCGCCAGGATGAGGCCTGAAAAGGACCACACAATCTGCATTGACACCGTCGATGGGTATGGACAGGCGGCGGAATGGGACAGGTATCTAGGCAGGTGCTTGCAGGCCAGGCCGAAAGAGGGCGATGGTCGTGAAGTCCTGAAATCTGAGTCCTGACTAATGGGTGTGTGTGCAGGACGTTTCTCTCGGGGAAGACGGAGCAAAGAAAAAAAATAATTGACGAAGCCCTAGCTAGCTAGTCCGGAGTAGGTATGTACAGTACATACAGCAAGTACATTTTGTACATTGTACAGGATGTACTCAGCCCAGGGCCGCCAGATTATCGGTTGGTTAGGTAGGTACAATCAATTGACGACAACTTTAAGCCCCTCTTTTACCCCATTTCCCGTACGTGCGTGTCTGCTGTCACCCGAAAAGCCACTGACTCTTTTTTTTTTTTTTCTTGATTTTGTTCACGCTGACTTTCTTGGTCAGGTTTGGGTGAAATTTAAACTCACCGCATTTCCTCGCCAATGATGCAGACGACGTAGTTAGTCTACGCCTCAGGTACCACTGCCTGCCTGAACACTGGACAGTCTAGCCCTCTTCCGGAGAAGCGGGAACATCCCGTGACTGTCGGGGTAAGCTAAACCGAGTTGGGCATCGCGCCGTCATCCCATCTACTCGGACCTCCGCCTCACTGGGTATCGACATGGGCGGTTAGCATCTCTCGTCTGGTCTCTCTCTCTCTCTTGTCGTCGTCACTCTACCTTACCACCTCTTACCTCCTCTCGCATCGCTGCCCTTCTTTACCGCCATTTCATCTTCTCTCTCCTGGTACGTCCTATCCGTCTATCCTATTTGTCGGCTCTTTTTTTTTTGTCACTTAGCACTTGGTCCTTCATGTCTTGTGTTCGCCCCCCCTCCTCATCTAAACACCCCTGTTTGAAGTTGGCTCTCAGTTTACCTCGTGTTTTTCTGCTTACGTCGTCGGTTTAGGCTACCTCCTTCCGAACTTTTTCGCCATCTGTATTGCCGGCCTGAGCCGCCCCTCGCGAGCAGAAATCCGGCCCTCAACGATCGATAAACCACCGTGGCTGTTAGCCTATTCTGCACGACGACCTGATTTGAAATTCCCCAAATCCTGAAACCCGTTGGGCTCTTCTCCAGCCATGTCTGAGTCAACCAGCGCCAATACCGCGAAACCGAGCAGCAGCGTCAAGCTGGTACTTTTGGGAGAAGCGGCGGTTGGAAAGGTATGAGCGACCTCGGCAGTTTCCGCCATTTTCCTGTTCTCCGTTCGTGGGACGAAAAAAAGTGACTCAGGAACTGATAATGGATCGGTATGAATCGTTTTCGGGCTTGACAGTCGTCATTGGTGCTGCGATTTGTCAACAATGACTTTCAAGAGAACAAGGAGCCAACAATTGGAGGTAAGCATCCGACGTGTGGCGATGTCCCCCCCCGAACAGCCTCCCCGCGGTGTCACCGGAAGCTGATGTCATGGGGTTCTTCTCGGTTTCAGCGGCCTTTCTGACCCAAAAATGCTCCCTTCCGACGCGGACGATCAAATTCGAGATCTGGGATACCGCTGGTCAGGAGCGGTTCGCCTCGCTTGCGCCCATGTACTACCGTAACGCCCAGGCGGCTTTGGTGGTTTACGATGTCACCAAGCCGTCCTCACTCACCAAGGCTAAGCATTGGGTGGCGGAGCTCCAACGACAGGCTAGCCCCGGCATTGTCATCGCCCTCGTCGGCAACAAGCTGGACTTGACAAATGACGCGAACGAGGCGGCTGGCGAAGCGCAGGCCGAGGGGGAACACGAGTCATCGCCCGCCGACGGGGACGAAGCCACCGAGGAAACCCAGGAGGAACCCGATGTCTCGAACGGAGACGCTCGGAAGGTGCCGACCCGGGAGGCTAGCGCCTACGCGGAGGAAGAAGGCCTACTGTTCTTCGAAACCAGTGCCAAGACCGGTCACAACGTGGTCGATGTCTTCACTGCCATCGCCAATGCGATCCCCGAGAGCAGCTTAAAGAGCGGCCGCGGTGCCGGCGCCGGCACTGGGCAGACCAGCCTGAGCGGTGGTCGCCCGGCCGAAGATTCGCGGGTCAACCTGGGAGAGCGCGGCGCGGCGACGGCCAAGGAAGGATGTGCATGCTGATACCAGATTGCTTTTTTTATGGCGTCCTGCGATTTGCCTTCGTTCGTCTCTTGCTTAACTGTTTTGCTTTTCCGATACAATATCAGGTTGATTACAGGTTAATGTGTTCATCCTATGGCGGTGGTAACAGCGACCGCTCTGGGAGGGCTGGTTCTACGGTCTGCGCCCGCGTTCCTTGCGGCGTCTGGAGATTTTATTCGTGTTGATGGATGCGCTACCAACTGTTGTTTTTTCTCAGCTTATTGTTTTGTACTGTTGGGTCAGAGAGTGGCGAGGGAATGATCGGGGATGTTGTTGTACAGATGAGAGAATAAGGGCGGATTAGGATTAGGGTGAAAGCGATCAATCGACCGGAAATACCAGCCGTGTATCCTTCTGTACTGGTAATGGAGCAAGACTATAGCCATAGTCCAAGGCATATGAATTCTATCTATCTTCAATCTGTGATGGATACTGTAGAGACACTAGATAAGCAATAGCGATAGCGATAAGTTGGCGGGGAAGACAGGATGGGAAGGGCGAGACAGATCACGGGACCGGGCCACCCCTAACTAGACCGGATGTGGAATAAGGCGGCCGGCTAAGCGAGAGCGCCGAGCCTCCGATCCCACAGCCGACCCAAGCGCAAATTGGGTCGCTGCTTGCCCGGTATCTTCGATTTCAACCACCAACCTCACGACAAGGAAGGCAGCAACCACCTCTCCTCCTCGCAGCACAGCCAGCAACCCGTCGCTCGTCTGCAACAATGGCTGCCATCAACAAGATCGCCCTTAACTCGCCCTCGAGGCAGAACCCCTCCGAGCTGGAGACCGCGATCGCCGGTGCTCTTTTCGACCTCGAGAGCAACACACAGGACCTGAAGGCCACCCTTCGGCCCCTGCAGTTCGTCTCTGCCCGTGAGGTAAGGACTGTCTTTGTGTGATATTACAAGCGCTTCGTGATATCCGCCAGCAGATCAGCAATTGTTTCAATCCGTCGTCGTCGCCATGTCCGGAAGAGGAGGAAATTTTTTTTCTGTTTCGTCAACAATGGGGTGGAAAACCGAATTTGTGTGCGTGTGTGCGGAATGCGGAGATACGGCAGAAAGAACAAGAACTACGAATCACAACACCCAACACGCCGATTTTACAATGAATTGGATGTGTTTTGCGGATCTCTGTTCCTCCCACATTGGAAGTGTCGAAATGGGGAGGACATCGACTCAACATGGGAAAATCGAAACAAGACATCGCGGACGAACGGATCGACTAATCTGCTGCGCTGGATATTGCGAATGCTTGCTTTGCTCTTTTCTGCAATGTTATTCTCTCTCTCTGCAAACTGATATTGACGATTTCTTTCGTGAATTTTGCAGGTTGAGGTTGGTCACGGCAAGAAGGCCGTCATCATCTTCGTCCCCGTCCCTCTTCTCCAGGGCTTCCACAAGATCCAGCAGCGGTATGGGATATCCCCCCTTTGTCTTTGCCCACGCTTCATATAGCGACTCGGATGTGCCAAGTGCGCGTTCGAGTATATGATGATGACGATGTCCTATTCTCTCGTCTACACCCGGGATTGCGTGGTCACGAAACACCAGAACAACCCAACTAACAGCCGCCTCCAGCCTGACCCGTGAGCTCGAGAAGAAGTTCTCCGACCGCCACGTCCTCTTCGTTGCTCAGCGCCGCATCCTGCCCCGCCCCAAGCGCTCTGTCAACTCCCGCACCACCCAGAAGCAGAAGCGCCCTCGTTCCCGCACTCTGACCGCCGTCCACGACGCCGTCCTCAGCGACCTCGTCTACCCCGTCGAGATCGTCGGCAAGCGCATCCGCACCAAGGAGGATGGCTCCAAGACCCTCAAGGTCATCCTTGACGAGAAGGAGCGTGGTGGTGTTGACCACCGCCTCGACGCCTACGGCGAGGTCTACCGTCGGTTGACCGGCCGTGCTGTTGTCTTCGAGTTCCCCCAGGGTGGTGCCTCTGACTACTAGACCACGAAATTCTTTTTTCCATAATGCATCTTCTTTTTTTTTTCAACCCCTTTATGAAAAAAGAAACCAACATGTTGTTTTAAAGAATCTGGTCTGGGAAAATCAGGATTAACAGGGAATTCAAATATGATGGCTGTGTTGTTGTGAGGACAATTTTTAAAAGATCTTTTTTTTAAAAAACGAAACATTATCTTTAAACCCAAACTCCCCTAACCAGCCGAGCCGGCGGTTCCATGCCACTTGCCAATTGCCAATTGCCAACCAATCGGCAAGCTCCTGTACTTGGCTTAATTCGATTAGAGGAATCTCCAACTTATCTCCAACCTTCACCTGAAGATCGACCATCCTTCCACTTCCCCATACACTCGCTCCTATGAGCACCTTGTAATATACGTATCTGGGGGAGAACCCCCAGACCCCCCTTTCTTTCAACCTCCCCAGTAACCTCGGCCCTGCATCCCACCCCAACCCACTGCAATACATGCATACTTGATCTCTTGGTCTTCCCACCGGCACAGTACATCTACACCACGAACCCCAATCACACAGGGAAACCAATAGAATGGCAAAGCTGGTATATTCCCGGGTTCGAGTTCGGTTCAATCCTCCACCCCAACCCCAGGTCCGGCACCAACATCCGACCACTACTAGAGTTGGTCATCAGTGCGGGTCAAGCTATAGGGCAAGTACGGTAGACATGCATTTCCGGGCCACTCTGTGTGTGTGTGTGTGTGCTGTGCTCAGCTCTGTTTGTGGATATATACAGTACGATATTGAGATGTTCTCAATCCAGTTGGCTGGTTTCTTCAGTTCTCTCGGGTTTCTTCGAGTCCGTCGCGTTCTGGTCATGGACTGAGCGATTACTGATTGTTTTGGATGGCGTAGTGTGGGTGGATGTTTATTGCATTCATTTGTGATGCTAAGGTTTCTGGAGGGGGCATTGTTGTGTTTTGTGGTTGGGGGGTGTTAAGTGTACTGTACTGTACTTTAGGAGGAATTAGTTCACGGCGGGATATATTTCCAGGTGATTAGTGGATGTAGGTATGTTTGTACTGCACCCGGCTCAACAGCAACACTCCTACACAGGATGATAAATCCTCAAACAGATTTGCGTACTGAGCAGGAAGAAAAGGAAAAGTAATGTTAAGTATCTACTTCCTTACTCTTACTTCCAAGCCCAAGCGATGCTGAATCATCGGTAGTGTCTCATAGAAGATCTACCCGTCTACACCTGACTACCGACCTCCAGAGAAACAAAATCAACCCAAAACACTCGGATCAATCCTCCCCACCCCGAGCACCATCCAATACGCCAACTCCCTCTTGACCATCTCGCCCGCGGCACTGACGCCGGGCCGATCGATCTGGTTCTCCGAATCCCACTCCATGCGCACGAACACCGGGATCTCGAGGACATCCTCGTCTGGTTGGAGCTGCTGCTGCTGCAGCGGCAGCCTCTCCTCCTTCCCTGCCGCCTGGCCGGTCCAATCCGGTACCTGTCCACGAAAACTGCTGGTGTCGCTGTCGCTGTCGCTGTCATTGCCCATAGTTTTGCTATGTGGTGGACGCGGGCCCTGATTCCTGGATTGCAGGGTCACACCGCTGCTCCCGGACGGCAGTGTCCCCGGTACCACCTCCAGCACCACGGTCGTCCAGTTGCGGCCCTTGTCCCACACTTTGCCGGCCTCGGCGACCTTCTCGAACATCCCGAGGTGACCCCCGGGTGCGGCCGTGGTGGCTGTGGCGGGTGCGGCACCGGAGCGGGAGGAGCGTTGGTCGGCTGTTGCATTGCTGCCGGTACCACCACCTGCTGCAGCTGCACCAGCGGCAGTGGTATTGCCCTGCAGGGCCTCGTCCCACACGTCGCTGTTGGCGCCGATGTCGAACTGCGGACAGAGAATGGTGACCTTGGAGGCCACGCGGCCCGGGGTCACGGACGGGGTGGCCAGGGTGATGCGGACGGGGTCGAACATGTGATTCTTGAGGGTGAGCAATAGCTGGGTGGGTCGCAGGGGCGGGAGGGCGTCGAGGTTCATGCCGGGAGTATGGCTGCTGCTGCTGCCACCGCCGCTGCCGCTGGTCACACCCGCGGCGGGTGGCGGGACCAACGGCCGGAGGGTCGGTAACGGGATGTAGCTGAGGGCGATCAGACGGATGCGGAACCGGGTGGATTGTGGCTTCTGCTCGGGCTTGACGAGGATATGCTTGCACGACTTGCAGCGTTTGGCGCGTTTGGTGCGCAGCAGCGTGGCCAGCGGCAGGAGCTCCTCCACGAACCGCGCGTCCGGCGACTGGAAGACGCGCTGCTCGAGCGAGGCCAGTCCGTCCCAGCCGCACTCGTCCGCCACCATGCGCTGGATGAGGACGGCTTCCGCGTCGGCCGCCGGCGTCTTGAACCCCTCGCTCGCGGTCAGCGCCTCACGCATGACCGGCGGTTTCGTCTTGGGCTTCTTGCTGGCGCCACCGTAGAGGCTGCTGAGGCGGGACGAGGAGGTGTACAGGGACATGATGCGGTTCAGGGCCCCGGGGGAGGAGAAGCCCGCTCCGAAATCCACGCCGAGCGGATCGCTGGGCGAGGACGAGGTGGCCGAAATTTGGGTTTTGTAGAAGCTTTTGAGCGCGTGGAAGCGGGCGTCCGGGCTGAGGGGGCCGCTCGACTGGTCGGGCGAATCGTCGGGGCGTGCTTCGCCGGGCGCCGGGGGGAATTGCTCGTCGATGGAGGAGAAGGTGGACAGGGGCGACTTGAGGTCTGCGAATGTGCGCGACATCTGCCGCGAGCGGGAGGGGTTCGTGTCGGTCGCCGTCAGCTTGGCCAGCTGGGTGCGGATGTTGGTCGGTTTGTCGAACTTGATGCCGATGTCGAGCGTGGACCACATGCAGTAGCCGCACGACAACACCCAGGGGCCTTGTTGACTGGTGCCGCCGCGGACGACGTTCTCGAGGGTATTGACCGCCAGCGGTGCGGTGCAGGCCGGGCAATTGAAGCAATTGCGTGCACACCTTGCAGTCGTCAGTTCCTGGATCCGAAGAGGAAGTGGTCAGACATACCGATTCCCCTCACTCTTCACCATACTGCTCGGCGTCTCGAACAGGCAGTTCGGACAGTACCAGCACACGATCTCCTCGGTGATGCATCGCGGACATTTGATCTGGTGGCAGTCCTCGCAGTAGAGGAGGTGCTCCGGGGGATAGAGGGAGAAATTGGACCGAGGGGCGCGCGGATCGAAGGTCTGTTCGTCCTCGCTGTCGTCGAAGCGCGGCGGCGGTTTGGGCTGGTCGGGGTGATGGCTGCTGGCCTTCTGCGGGGACTCTCGCGAGCGGCGTTTCTTGGCCGGATTCGGAACGGGGGTGTTGGCGCAGGGACAGGAGATGTATGCGTAAGGGAAAGGACGCGACATGGTGGGAGTTTAGGAAGTTGGTCTATAGTAATGCTTGCATGCTATCTCATGGTCAGTTGGGAAGATGCGACAAGCGACGATTAGGGGAAGCATACTCATTCATACCTTAACGGGGAAATATTGCACGAACGAGTCAGAACGCTAGACTCAATCAGACGCTGCTATTCATAACCTGCTCATGATGTGGCTAAGATGCAGACAACACACAGGACAAAGTAGAATGAAAACAAAATGAAGGGGAAATGCCCGAGGCAGCGAAACAACAGAGAAAGAGGAGAGGAAAGGAAAGGAAAGGCAAAATGCGGAGGAGGGCCGATCTTCCGCCCCGACGTCACGTTCCGCCTCCGCCGTGACTTTTTTGCCCGCCTGGATGTTCCATCTTCCAACACCCCTTAGCCATCGCCCAATTCCTTGAAAAGAGAGCTGGGACATCATGTCTCTACACCAGTTGATCCGACCAGTGGTGCGATCGCGCATCTCCACCACCACAATTCCTGCCACAGCATCATCATGCCTCCCCCGGCGGCGCAACTACGCCATGCAAACGCCCGGCAACCCAGTGATGGAGATCTTCAACCGACGAGTCAAGCACCTACAAAAGGAGCGGGCGGCGCAGAACGTCGACGAGAGCCGAAAGACCGATTACCTCAAGGATGAAGTCGCCATACGATTATGTGAACGATTGCTGGTGGGCCTTCCTCCTCCCTGCCACAGAGCTACAAACAAGCCTCAGCCCAGTCCCCCGGCGCCACAGAGCTACACAGGCTTCAATGACCCTAAAACCCTCTAACATGAAAAAAAAAAATGAAATAGGACATCAAACGCACCTTCCCACAAGTCCTCGACCTCGGCGCAAACAGCTGCAACATCGCGCGAGCCCTGACCACCCCACTACCAGACGAGTCCTCCCCCACCGGCACCGCCGAACCGCTGGCCAACCGCATCTCGCACCTCACCTGCGTCGACACGAGCGCCGCCCTCCTGAACCGCGATATCGCCCTTCCCTTCAACTCCTCCCTCCCGATCACGCGCCAAGTCGTTCCAGACCTGGAAACCCTCCCCTACGCCGCGAACAGCTTCGACGCCGTCCTCTCCTCACTCAGCATCCACTGGATCAACGACCTACCCTCCCTCCTCGCGCAGGTCAACAAGATCCTCAAACCCGACGCGCCCTTCATCGCAGCCATGTTCGGCGGCGACACGCTCTTCGAGCTACGCACGTCGCTGCAGCTCGCGGACCTGGAGCGGCGGGGCGGGGTGAGTCCGCATGTTTCGCCGCTGGCGGACGTGCGGGATGTCGGGGGGTTGTTGAATAAAGCCGGGTTCAAGATGTTGACGGTCGATGTGGAGGATATCGTGGTGGAGTTTCCGGATACGTTTGCCCTGATGCGGGATCTGCAGGCGATGGGGGAGGGGAATGCGATCCTGCATCGGGAGATGGCGCCGTTGTCGCGCGAGGTGTTGTTGGCGAATGAGGCGATTTATCGGGCGTTGCATATGGAGGACGGGGCGAGGGGCGTGCCGGCGACGTTTCGGTTGATCTATATGATTGGGTGGAAGGAAGGGGAGGGCCAGGCGAAGCCGTTGGAGAGGGGGAGTGGGCAGTTGAATTTGAAGGATATCCTTGGGGGCGGGGATTTTGAGCAGAAGTGATGGGTCTTGTCTGCTAGCAGAAAATGAGGGAGTGTGTTGTATGATATAGTCCCAAACCCAAAAACAAAAAGAGGCGCACAATATATACGGTCAACTTGGCACTGACGATGAGACTATGAGGTGTATATAGCCTCATCGATCTCCCATTCTTACCGCAAAGTTATAAACACACATACAACAAGAAAAAAAAACACTAAACCGTCCTCCGATCCGTCATCACCCGTACAATCGACCCCGTTCCCACCAACTCCACCAACTTCTCATGCCAGCTCAACAGCACACTCATCTGCTGCCCGCCGCCCCCCTCGCCCAGATTGCGGCCCTGGATCTGCGAGAACCCCGTACTCTGCGGGGAGACCGATTTGCGGGGGGTTTGCGCGGAGACGGGGGAGGCCATGCCTTTGTAGCTGGACACGTAGAAGTAAACATGGTTAGCCAGACGATCTCGCCAATGTATCTTACCACCCAAGCCAGACGATCTCTCCAATGCATTTCAACACCCCAACCCCAATCCCCCCCCAGATAAGAAAGTTGGGACACGTACAGATACTTCATCAAACAATCCGCGCGCTCCGCCCCGCCGTCCTCGCCCGTGCACACCCCCTCCAGCACGCGGCTCATCTCCCCCTGCCGGATGCCCTGCAGCACCTCGGTCACGGCCGCCAGGTGCACCTCCTTGGCGCGCTCGTCACCGCCCAGGGGCGCCGTGTCCAGCACGTGCCGCAGCGCCGCCGCCGGGTCCCCGCCGCGCAGCAGCTGGCGCACCTCGCCGGCCACCGCGGCGGCGGCGCTCGAGGTTGTCGGGGCCGGCAGGGTGGCCGGCAGGAGCGTGTCCATTGGGAAGTTGATCGAGGCATCTGGGTCCAGGACGTCGATGTTGATTGTGCGGTAGTTGAGTTGGGACATTTTGGGTTCGATTTCGATTTCGGGGGTTGGTTTGGAGGGGTTGGTGGTGGTGGTGATAGTGGGGGTTCGGAGGTTATTTGAATTGGATCGGGTTGTTGATTTTGATGATGATATAGCTGAGGATAGTGGGATTGTCAGTGGAATTGGTTAGTCCTGGTAGTTGAGGGGCTAATGGATGGTCGTTGGTGGTGGGAGACAGGCAGAGCAGACAGGCATCGTCATTGCCCTGATGGGGTTCCGCGGGGAAAGGGAATTGGACACCGTGGTTGGGTCGTGGGGTGGGCAACAAACCTCAAATTGGCGTGGGGTAACTGGGTGACAAGATGCAAGCGCTGGTCGATCGTCAATGAGAAGCTGTAAAAGCCACTGCCACAAACAACAAAACAATAAACAGTGAGAGTGAGAGTGAGCTGGAGATGAGCGGATACGGAGAGTAGCAGGAGGGAGAGAGAGGAAAGGGAGGCGGGCACGGAAGTGGCGGTGCGGAGACCCCCGTCGGCCCTGACCGCCTGAGGCAGCCGCTTAGTTGGAGAACTATACAAAGTACACACTCCAAAGGTTCTATTGCTGAACTTGGTTCAGAGTATCAGTTTCCATTGCTGAATCTGGTCTAGGTATCATAGTTCTCTATTGTACAGTAGATGTTGTAGTTGTAGTAGCAACGCTAGAACGCTCAAGAAAGCCTCCCTCCCAAAAGTACAAGTACAAACACAAGCAAGCCACCCCTTTAAAAAAAACATAGCAAGGCAGGAGTAGAGGCACAGTCGAGTGGCTGCACTAGTCATTATTCCATAAAATTCATCAAGAGGTCGTGATGGTGATTGGAGGCACCGGGATCGTGGTAGATGGTGCCTCAGGAGTTGACTCTCGTTTGAGATCCTGCAACGACGTCCTGCCCGCCTCCTCGTCCGGCAGGGCCTCAGCCTCGGCCTCAGCAGTAGGATCCGCGTCCCGGCGCCGGAAGAAAACACGCTTCGTCGTCCGCGTGAGGGGCCGCACGGTGGATCTGACACCCGCGGCCAGCCATCCCATCGCCCGAGCGATGGGCTTCGTGACAAAGGTAATACAGCGCACGGCGAAGTTCAGCGCAATCTCGCAGGGTCTGTCGGGGATCAGGCGCAGCACCACCGCCCAAGGCAGACAGCCCAGAGCGCAGGCGATGCAGATCGCCCACTGCACCCCATTAAGCCGGGTGACACCGAAGGCCTCGCCGCCCACAAACACAATCATGATTTGCCCGCCGACCATGATGCAGTTGATCCCGAGGAACCAGTAGTTGCGGAACATGCCCTCGAAGATGTTGAGCTTGTTGTCGAGCCGTCGATTGTTGAACTCGTTGAAGATCTGCATCCAGACGAACGTGTTGAACACGATCGTGTCCAGGACCAGTTGAGGGTTCTTGCTGCCCAGCTGGGAGCCAATGATGTGCCTCCCCCCGAAGTACAGCATGAAGGTGATGGCGAGTTGATAGAGGGCCTGGCCCAGAATCATCTTCCACATGATCACGGTGAACAGAGACGCACTCTTCGGCACCGGCTTCCGATCGAGGATCTTCTCCGTCGGCGCATCGGTCGCCAAGGCGAGCGCTGCGAACGTGTCCATGATCAGGTTCACCCAGAGGAGCTGCACCGCATTCAGAACACTCTGGTTATCGCTGCTGGACAGCGAGGACACAAAAGTCAGAATGACGGCAGTAATGTTGACGGTGATCTGGAACTGAAGGAACTTGGCCACCGCATCGTTGACGGCACGACCCCAGGCGATCGCAGTGACAATTGATTTGAAGTTGTCGTCGAGCAGAACGATGGAACTAGCCTCCTTGGCGACTTCCGTGCCTGCAATGCCCATGGAAAACCCAACATCAGCTGTCCGCAGCGCCGGCCCGTCGTTTGTGCCGTCTCCAGTCACAGCGACGGTTTCGCCGAGTTTCTTGAGCCGGGCGACCAGGATCCGTTTATCCTCGGGCGACGAGCGTGCCAGCACCTGAAGGCGCGGGATCACTCGATCCATCTCGTCGTCGGACAGTTGCCGGAACTTGGGGCCTTCCATGACGATCCCCTCTTCAGTCTTGATGCCACACGAGGAAGCGATGGCGCTGGCAGTGACAAGATTGTCGCCAGTGACCATCTTGACTTGCACGCCGGCCGCATGACACTTGCGAATGGCAGCTGGAACCTCAGGCCGAAGGGGGTCCTGAATGCCAACCACCCCGACCCAGGTCATGTCCTGGAAGATATCATCAAACACTGCAGACTCGGGCTCGTCCTCCATGCGTCGGACGGCGTGGGGCGGCCAGCTCGGGAAATCGCGATACACCATGCCAATAGTCCGTAGCGACTGGCTGGCATACGATTCAACCAGTGCCAGCATCTCCTGCTTGTCGTGCTCGTGCAGTACGTCGATGCCGAGCCCGTCTTTGCTGGAATCCTTCTCAGTGATGTGGGTAGCGCACGCACCCGCCATGATCTCGGCGGCGCCTTTGACAAGCAGGCGATAGCCAACAGCGGGCTCGCGATAGACCACAGCCATGCACTTGCGCGCCGAATCGAAGGGGAAGAGCTGCACAATCTCCGCCGAAGCGCGTTCGAGCGTCACGTCCATGCCGAGATGGTCTTTAGCCAGTTGTAGCAATGCTACTTCGGTCTTGCTGCCGATGAACTGCTTCTGTCCGTCCTTCTCTTCCTCAAAGGCGGTGGAGTTCAGCGCAACGCTTTTAGTGACCAGGTCACGCAGCCTGCTGGAGCTCTGCTTGAAGAGCTCGGCGGCCGTAGAGCCTGGAGCGCCATCGTCCACATTCTGACTGAAACTCCTAGTGGCGAGCGTCCCGGCGACCACGGTCATCTTGTTCTGCGTGAGTGTTCCTGTCTTGTCCGAGCAGATGACGGTCGCGTTGCCCATGGTTTCACAGGCCCGGAGAACGCGGACTAGATTGTTCTCCTTGACCATGCGGGTGGTAGCGAAGGCGAGAGCGAGGGTTACCGCAAGTGGAAGACCCTCTGAGATACCGAATCAGTACGAGTTCCTGAGGTTTTGGACCGAGGTACTTACCGGGAATCGCGACGACAATAACCGTCACAGCCACAATAAGAATGTCGACAAACTCTTTGCCCTTGACGGCGGGGGAGCCGCTGTTGTGCGGGAGGTCCGCGACGAAGCGGAAGAACAAAGCAAAGAATAGAATGATCGCAGCGCTGACGCCGTTAGCCAACGAACACATCGTTAGCAAGGGGACCTTCGCTCTTACCCTGAGCCCAGCCAACCGATCCAGTTAGCAAGCTTGCCCAGTTTGACCTGCAGCGGAGTTTGATCGTCCGAGTCTTGCAAGGACAGCAGGATCCTGCCATAAGTCGAATAGGGCCCGACACTGGTCACAAGATACGTGCCCACTCCTTCGAGCACCTTGCTGCCAGAGATCAGGAACGGATCCAGTTTCTTCGTCGCCGTCCCGGCGGCGAGGTGTCGGCCGACTTCATATCCATCGGTCTTCTTCATCTGGTCCGATTCGCCGGTCGCGGAAGACTCGTCACATTTCACCCCGTGGCCCGAGATCAGCACCCCGTCCGCCGGGATGGAGTCGCCCGGCTCGAGGTGCAGGACATCTCCCACCGTGATGTCAAAGATGGAGACCATGGAGACCTTACCCGAGCGGACGGCTTTGACTTCTCGGTCGTTGTTCTGCCGCAGTCAGTCAAGAGTCAACAAGACAATACGAGTGCTGACACTTACTCTTTTGTTGAGTTTGGCAAACTGCCTCTCCTTCTGCCAGTCATTAGCGGCCGTCACAATCGTGACGATCAAGATCGCCACACAGATCGCCACGCCTTCGATCCAGTCCACGCCGCTCCCTTCGCTGGTCGTCTCGTAGATCCCAAGCGACAACGAGACGACGGCGGCGATGGTCAACAGGATGATGATCTTGTCGTTGTACGCACGCCAGAACAAGGTCAGAAAGCCCGTCGACTTGCGAGCGGGCAGTCGATTTTGGCTGAAGACGCGAATGCGGTCCTGGAACTGTGCATCCGAGCCCGGGGATGCCGTATGGCGAGCCGGTTCTGACGGCGGCTGCACTACTTGCTGCTCTTTGTCCCGCTGGTGGTGGTGGTGATGCTCATACTTCGTCGCGCCATACTCTGAAGAAGTCACCGCTGCTTCTTCAAAACTCACCGAACCGTCCAGCTCGGTCTCATCCACCGACAACCCCGAGGCCAGATCCGTGCGCAAGCCACGTTGCAGCCCGGCGAGCCCGCCCAGGGCCTGGAACGCCGCCAGCGACTTGGGGTTCTGCATCTTGTTGAGCTGGCCCGGCGAGAAAGCGAACTTGTTGTCTTCGACGACAAAGTCCCCCTCCGTGCGCGGATCCGGGTTGAGCGCCTCGGACAGCGAGACATCATCGTAGGCTGCCGCTGCTGTCGCCTTGGTCGGCACGGCAGTCAGCTCCGAGTTAGCTCGGGATCTCACGGCCGTGTCGGCGCTGGAGATGGTCGAGTTTGCGCGGGGCCGCAGCGTCTCGCCGTCCAGGGAATGAGACGTTCGGGGGGTGTTGCTGTGCTGCTGCTGCACCATGAGTCTGTCGGGGGACAGTGCTGCGCCGGCGGGGGCCATCTCGAATGGCGCGGATGGACTCAGGTGTTGTCCTGAGTCCGAGGAATGTGGACGTTGCTGCTGCTACCATCTCTATCAACATATACTCTCGATGATGATGATGACGATGAGGGGGATAAGCGGCAAGCTTGCCGCCGTTGACAACGTACCTCTCTATCTGAAACCCCGAATGGGTTTAGAAACTCCGCCTGACGATGTTCTTCGTCTGATGGCTGCATTAAAGTGATCGACACAGACTCTGATTTGACAGGGAAGGTAGTGAAGCATGCATCCAAAAAGAATCAGGGGAATGGGTGTATTCGGAAGAGATGGAGGTGTCTTGCGGGCTAATTGCCTAGAACTGGTTGTAGGGTCTGGTTTAGTTTCCTTTGTTGTAGTCAGAGAAATGGGGGCCAACGCCTGGGTATAAGAGTGGGAAATCGGTAGAAAGGCTGTGCTGCGAAAATGAATGTAATCAGAGAAAGGTGGTTCAGCACTGTGTGGGAGGAGGTACTTCTATGGAATAACTGGTCCAGATCCCCCCCGGGCATTGCTGAAGGCAATAGTCTCCGCCAAGGTACAATACAATAAGTACAGTTATGTCGTTGGGAGACGGATGAAAGCGCTGGAACGGGCCAAGGGAAGTCTAAACAACGGGAAGAGGGGCGCAGCAACAGAGCGATCCATAGGAAGTGGAGGTGGGGAGGGGGAGGGAAGGAGAGTGAATGAGGGGAGGGGGTATGACTACTAGTACTGGGTAGTATTGTTGAGAGATGATGATTGTGTCCGTAGAGGATTGAATGATGGATGAGGAGTCTCAGTCTCTCAGTCATTCTGCAGCTTTACACAGCCACGCTGCCGCCCTCCTATCACAACCCTTCTGGTGGAGGCAAACAATCCCTCTCGCGGCGGTTAATTCGATCAATTCCATGGCTACACCGATTCAATTTGCACTGGCACTTGACTTGGATTGTTAATCACAAATTATTGATTATTGGCGTTTCTTTTTTTTTTTCTTTTTCTTTTTTTCTGTCTTTTATCTCCTCACCTTTCAGCCGCTGACCTCTTTGCCTCCCTCCCATTGCGCCGTTCATTTGCCGCTTGAAGTACTCCGTATCTTGGAACAAGATCCAGTCAGGTGATTTCCTTCTCCCTCACTTCGACAGCGGGCTCAAAGAGTGGTTGATGATCTCATGCGATCATTGACTGGAAGTGCCTGACCGCCAGCCAGGCGCTTTCACGAGCCCAACTGCTCCATGCCAAGTGCAACCTACCAGAGATTCACCCCAGAGCAACCATCAGACCCCCACGCAATCCAGCTCAACCTTCGTATTGCTATCGATCGAGTCGCTCGGGGTAGTTTCTGTGCCACCGGCAACTAACCCTCCATTAGCGAGGTCCGTCTCCGCGACGTCCGCCTGAGCCTAGGTTGGCGGACTCGCTAGCCGGAGGCGAAGCAAGGGTTTTGCGACGACAGAAACCAAGATATGTGAGTTATGACTGGATGAAGTAGCCAAATGCCAATCATGGCGCGGTCTTATGTGACCGACATTAATCAAATATCGGAATAACCCCATGGATTCCGACGGAGATAAACTACAGCCTGGACCGGTCCAAGGGGGGGGGGGATGCTCGGTCAGAACTCTGACTTAGAGCATCCATGAGCTGTGCCGAGTTGCCAATAGCTGCTAGACCGTCAGTCGTTATCTACCAGGGAGCCACTTACGCCGAGACTCAATAGGACAAAGGAAGCTGTTGTTTTCTTGGCCTCCAAGCCGCATTTTTAAACCCTCCTGTGAAACTATGGGACTCGTCGCGTGCCCGTGTATGATTAAGATAAATGACATACGTCAGCCCAGGACCATGTCCGTGGAATCATGCAGAGATAGGAGACTGGCACATGGGTCAAAGCATTGCTCTTGTCTCATGCCTTCGCGGAATCGACTGAACTGGCCCAGGCGACTTTGACTGTGATGTGTCGTGTCTGATGGACACATGCTCGCCTTGCAGAATCTTCTCGCATGTCGGTTGGTGAGATAATGAGGCTAAGGCCCTGAGGGAATAACTTCAGCGAAAGGATCACCAGAGCTGTGGGTTCCACATAGTGATAGCACTGCCCCAAGGTATGTCGAACATGGTTTCTCAAGCTCGGTACTTGTGTGGCTAACCCAGGGTGCCAGACATAGGCTGCTGCCCGAGGCTTGCCTCATCAAAGTCCATAGACATGAAGGGCGCCCCTGTCTCTGATCAGTGGCTGATGGTCGACTCTGGTGACACGCATCTAGCACCTTGCAACAACTTGGGGACGACTTCGACGTGACTCGTTCCAATGAGCTGGAGACTCCATCCAGGCTGAGCATAAAGATGCCAGACATGGCCGGTCCTTAGTCACGGTGAGACACACACCAGGGTGGCTGTGCGGATTGCATTGGCCTGCTGTACCAGGCAGAGGATCAAGACAAAGTCGGCCGAGGCTCACTTCTAAGTAAGGGAAGTTGGACACTGAAAGTTTCGTTGAGACGCGCTGAAGCATGATACCACTGTGTGCATTTCCACACTACCCATTCCAACAAACATGTGAAACACCTTTGGCCTTGCTTGTGGCTTGGTGTGTATCAAGTTGCAGCGTTACACTGATCGAAGAGTAACTTATTGCTTTATTGAGCCATGAACTGGCTGTCGTGGAGAGCAAAAGGAAACCATAGTCGAGCAACACTTAAACCCTTAGGTTTGTGTTTCTTTTTCTGCAAGGGCATATGCAAACGGTACCTGGAGTGTAGGATAGCAAGACAACTGTGCAAGGTGCATGGGGACGAGGACGGGGTCTCTGCCAGAGACTTAAACACTGCTGAGCTGAATGGGCAACAGCCACCTTGACGAGTCAGGAACATCCAGTCAACTGGTCAGGCCACCGCGATCGCGAAGTGCGGTCCGATCAAACTCCGCAATTCGAACCCGCTCGAAGGCCAGGCAGAAATAATGAACAAACTATGACGAGGATTCACAAGCATAACCCATGGTGAAATGAACAAATCAGCAGTACCGATCGGGGCCAGCCGACAAAACGAAGCACGTCAGTTGTCAATCTTATCCGCCGGGGTGGTCCGCCACCGGAAGCGGAAATCAAATTCCAGCAGGTCCAGTCCTGCAGAAAGGCGGGAACCGTTGAAGCATAAAAAAATATGCCGAGGCCCATTCGCCCAAGTGCCCAAGTGATATCATTATACTCGTGGGAAGGGGAAGTGGATAGAAGTGTGTGTGTGCGAGTGGATCCTTGACAACTTTTTCAGGAAGCTCTGCTCCGTCCCCTTCCCCTGATTGATCTGCCCTTCGGCTTAGAAATACAAAATGTTATAATATGGGTTGCTTAACAATGTTCTAATTATTGGGGGTAAACCCACCTTACTATAAGTCTTTTTTTCCTCCGCAGTACTGTCCTGAGTTCTTATACAACACATTCGCATCTGCATTGTACATACCGCACTTAATTTTTTATACACGCAAAAATCCCCGTACAAAATGTCACAAACAGGCACCCCCGTCGACGTCAGCCCCCTGGCGCAACCGCTGCCGTTCGAATTCTCGCAGCGCAGCGCGCCCAACCGCTTCCTCAAGGGAGCGATGAGTGAGCGCCTGTGCTCGTGGTCGGTCGACGACCTCGCCGCGCGCGGCGTCCCCTCGGACGAGCTGATCGAGGCCTACCGCGTGTGGGGCGAGGGCCAGATCGGGCTCATCCTGACGGGCAACGTGATGATTGACCCGGCGCACCTCGAAGCCCCCGGCAACCTGATCATCCCCGCGGACGCCCCGTTCGAAGGGGAGCGGTTCGCGCGCTTCCAGCAGCTGGCCACCGCGGCCAAGACCCCGCAAAACTCGCTGGTCGTCGCGCAGGTCAGCCACCCGGGCCGCCAGACGCCGGCGGCCCTGCAGCCCAACCCGATCAGCGCCAGCGACGTGCAGCTGGAGGGGGTGGTGCTGGGGAGCACGTTTGCCCGGCCGCGCGCGGCCACGGAGGCGGACATCCAACAGATCATCAAGGGGTTCGCGCACGCGGCCGAGTACCTGGAGAAAGCCGGCTACGACGGCATCGAGCTGCACGGCGCCCACGGGTACCTGCTGAGCCAGTTTCTGTCGGAGACGACCAACCGCCGCACCGACCGGTACGGCGGCTCCCTGGAGAACCGCATGCGTCTGATCTTGGAGATCCGCGCGGCGATCGCGGAGCGCGTGCGCCCGGATTTTATCGTGGGGATCAAGGTGAATAGCGTCGAGTTCCAGCCCCACGGCTTCCAGCCGGAGGAGGCGCGCCAGCTGTGCCGCACGCTGGAGGACCACCGGTTTGACTTTGTCGAGCTGTCCGGGGGCACCTACGAGAACTGGAAGATGGGCGATGACGAGGGCGAGAAGCGCGAGTCCACGAAGAAGCGTGAAGCTGTAAGTCTCCCTCAAAAGTATTCTGGCCAATTGACTAATCTCGAAAATAAAAAAAAGTTCTTCATGGACTTCGCCCAGATGATCGTCTCCTCCCTCAGCAAGACCAAGTCCTACCTGACCGGCGGGTTCCGGACGGCGGAGGGCATGGTCCACGGCCTCGAGACGCTGGACGGTATAGGCCTGGGGCGCCCTCTCTGCCAGGAACCGTACCTGTGCCGGGATATTCTGAGTGGCAAGGCGACCGGGGCGCTGCAGCAGGTCATCAACCCCTACGATTTCGGGCTGACGGCCGTGGCGGCGTCCATCCAGATCCGGCAGATGGGGCGGCGGTTGGCGCCAATCGACCTGAGCGACAAGCAGCGCGCCGACCAGCTGGTGCAGGCGGTGGTGGCCAGGACGCAGCAGAAGGGCAAGGATTTCTCGCAGGAGGCCGTCTGGCCGCCGCTGATCCCGGATTATAATGTGCCTTTGGCTGTGGAGGCTTGATTTGATAGAGAGTTAGACTAGACTACTACTACTACTACCACTAAGCAAGGATCTTAAAGTAGTTAATATGCGAATAAACTGTCGCCATGAAATTACCCTTTCTCAACTTAATCGTCACCCTGACCCCTCTCCCACTTATGAGAGAGAACCACCAGCATCCCTCATAGAATATAGTAGCCAGAATAAACCAGCGAAGACAATCATCACAGATCCGACCTAGCACAGACCACAAACAAACCAATTCGTCACTAGAGTACCTTGTACATAGTAGATCAACAGTAAGCACCCTAACTATTCTAGTAGACAAACAGCACGTGGAGCGCTCCCCTCCCCACCCACACTAAACCCCTGGGCCCTCCATCACCCAACCCTAACTCCCATCCAGATCTCTCGATCGGAGATTCAACCCAACCAACAACAACCCCCAACACCCTCAGTGAATCTCTTGCCACCTAGGCACAGTCCTACCCCCTAAAGCCCGTGGCTATGCACCAACCGCCACACAATCCCCCATACCTCGGAGGGAACGAACCTGACCCCGAACCGAAGGCACCAGCGGGACCCGCACCGCCACATGGGTGGCTGCATCAGCCACAGCTCATACTGCTGCGCCACATATATTATGTCATTCCGGGCTTGCATACATCAACAAATGGTATACCACGAGTAGAACTTTTTGGGATGGGATGGGATAGTGGCAAGGGTATGTGTGTCTGTCACACTGAAGTGAAACTCGTGCCGCAGTCAGCCTGATGGATGCAGTGGCTAGTTGGGCTGGTGATGCTGTGATTACTACTGGTTGATGTGGAACTGGCTACTGTCGGTGGCTGCATACTGTACAGTCTCGTCTATCAATTCTGTTTGACGTAGTGCGGTGATCTGGGATCGGATACCGAGTACGTGTAAGAACGTGAGGCCCATGGACTCAGTTTAGCTCTGCAAAGGGCACTAGGGGGCTGCATCGCACGGCACATGCATGAAGCCCAAGGCTGTGCTTCAACGTTAACCCTAGGCAGCATCGTTCTCCAGCTTACACTGCATGAGCACTACAGCTGGTACTAGCCTCGTCGATTGTATAGTATTCATCATTGTCAGATCCTGAGTGTCCAGCACAGCATGCCTCTAGCCTCATAGCATACAGCCCAGGCTTTACTATACCCTCCGAGCACACAACCTAAGCATCAACAACCCCCAACCCAGCAAACCGATTCCCCAACCCACAAAACCACTCCTTCTCCTTCCCCACCACCTCACCTTCTTCCTCTTCTCTACCACCATCACCACCACCACCACCACCACCATCACTACGTCTCCCCAAAACATCCTCCATCGCCCACGCAATCCGCTCCGCCCCAAGCCTAGCCCCCTCCAAATTCGCCGCCCCGGGCCCCAGCCTCAATGCCGCCAACCGCCCCGCCAAAAACAGCGGCACCCCATCGCACCACATCAGGTCCTCCGTCAAACACGGCAAGCCCTGCCTCGTCTCGACCGGATAGTCCCTCCGCATACTATTTAGAAGTGGCATCTCGGTAATATCCGCCCGCATCCCCGTCGCGAAGTAGATGTAGTCGACGGGGGTGTCGGCCAGCTCGGGGATGGGCGGGTCGGTGGTGAGCGTCCAGGTGGAGGTGGCAGGGTCGTAGAGGCGATCGACGATTACCGTCCGCGGGTGGATGGCCAGTTTGCTGCGTGCGGCGTGCTGCTTCAGGATCTTCTGGTAGCGCGGGGTGACGCTGCCGCCGCCGCGGGCGGCGGCGATCATCGCCAGCCGCTCGTCGTCGGTGTCCGCGGACCAGAACCGGGCTTTCTCGAGGTTCTTGAACTTGCCCATCCAGTTGAGGGTGAGGTCGAAGTGTTTCACTTTTCGGTGGTTAGGGATCTTTGGGGGTTGAACTTTGGCCCAAGGGCTAGGGCTAGGGGGTTAGGGGGGGTACAGTAACGCACCCTTCATATCCGAACGCATCAACAACCACACCTTCCTCACCCCCCTCCGAATCGCCATATCCGCCACCTGGGCGGCGGTCAACCCGCCCCCCACAACGACCACATGCGTGGCCTGCCGTGCGCGGATCTTGGTCTGGATGTTGGCGCTGGGGAACGAGCGGATCTCCGAGCTGTGGCAGGCGCCGGCCTGCTCGGGGGGCGTCAGCGGGAACGGGAGGATTTTGTGGGTGCCCGGCCCGATGGCGAGCACGACGGCGCGGCTGTGGTGCTGCGTGCCGTCGGCGGCGGTCACCGTGAAGATCTTTGAGTTGGTGTGTCGGTGAAATCCGTACTGGATGTCGGTGACTTCGCTCTGGCGGATCAGCCCGGGCCGGTCGAGGCGGTACCGCGCGACGATGCTGGCGCAGTAGTCGGCGAAGAGGCCGGTGGAAGGGGAGAAGTAGTCCTTGCGGTCTCGTTCGTCGATTTCGGGTTCTTGGGGGGGTTTGCTTTTGCCGTGCGTTAGCACACACCTTCCCCTGCAGAACTACAGTAGACACGGTGCCCAAGATCGAGGTAGATAACCCCAGGAACACAAGAGACAAGAAGAGGAAAAAAAAAAAAAAACTACACCCCCTCCCCGCCCTCAACTTCTTCCTCCGATGCTTGCTCAACTCCTTCCCCACGCACCCGGAAATCTCCCACAAGTCCGCAAGCCGGGCCTTTTCCTGTGTGTACGCCAGCATCCCATCGCGGTCCCGCGGGTCTACGTGGAAGAACATGGGACTGCGCAGCTGCTCGATCTCCAGCGTCCGGAACGCGCGGTTCCACTTCTCCATCCACCGGGGGCCGGAGCCGTCGAGTACGAGCGTCCCCCCGGGCCCGTCGTCGGTGTCCTCCTCCCCAACTTCTTCATCGGTACTCTCTGATACCGATAAGGAGGAGGAGGAGCTGATAGATGACCCAGAAGAAGCCAATCCCGGCACCGGTCCCGAGCTCCCGCCTCCATCTTCGGAAGCAGAGTCAGAGGCAGAGCCAGCCCTACCTTTCCCCCCGGGGAGCAAGGCAGATGTGGATAAATTGGCACTAGCAGTATTTACGTATTTCTCCGCCCGCACCCCCCTCCGCCGCCGCCGCGCGTGCGCCTGCACCAACGCCATCCGGCCGCGGTGCTTGTTGATCCAGTGGTAGCGCTGGTGCTCGTCGTCGGTGAACATGGCGGAGGGGGTCTCTTCGCGGAGGCGGGCGGCGACGGCCAGGCCGCAGGGGCCGGCGCCGATGATGAGCACGGAGTGGAGTGGGGGGGTTGTCATTTCGAGTTCGGTTTGGGGGGGCATTGCTGTTCTGTTCGTGGGGTTGACTATATTCCTGTTCTTGGTGGTGGTGGTTGGGGTGTCTCTGTTGTTGTTATTGTTCTCGGTTGGTGTGGTGGTTGTTTCTCTGGTTGGAATGGTGGTATTTGAGAGTGATGGTGGGCTGGTTGGTTGGTAGGTTGGTAAGTGGTTTGTATTCGGTTGCGATGGGTTAGTGTTCAGGGGCATGGATTTGATTTCAGTTGGGAGATGTAGTTGAAGACAATTGTTGAATGAAGGTTGATTTGTGCCGTAAGACATGCAGAGTGGTGGTGGTTATCAATGGCAACCTAGGAATAATAGATACGTTAGGGCTGGCCTGCTTCCCCCGGGTACTCGATCCCAAGGTCCTTGTCCCCGCGCTGCATTTGCTGTATTGCTGAGCGACCCATCTTCACTCATACTCGCGGGCGTGGTGTCATCGCGGCGATCATGGGGACCTTGCAGGCGTTTACTCCCTCCAAATGCAAACTTGATCTATTCCTAGGCTTTTGGTGTGATTCGTCCATTTCTGAGTTATGGATAGAGCTAGTCACTATCAATCATGAGGATAAGACTTAGTCATTATACTGATCGAACATACATTACTCAAAACATTATTAGCTCTTCGGTAGCACCGGACCACTATTTATGCCACTTCTTCGTCTTAGGCTCCGCAGTCATCGCCCGCGAACGAGGCATGCCCCCTCCCTCGCGTCGATGCCACGCATCTTGCGGCCAGACCCAGCCCCGGACGCGCTTCGCGTCCCGCCGCTCCCCGATCTGCGGCTCAGGAATCCATTTGTCCTTCCCATCGGGCAGAACACGCTGCCGCGTCAGCGCCCCCGGCCCGCCTACGTTGAGATGCGCCGACGGCTGCGACGGCAGGGGCACCGACTTCGAGAGCATGAGCAGAAAGTACAGCGCCATGCTCGCGGTCATCGGCCCGTCGAGCTCATCGGACGACACATCGTAGTTCCCCAACACCGGGGACTGGCTGGCCAAGGAGCTGTCGCTGGACGGGGCCGGGGAATGCGGATAGGTGCATCGGTCCATATGGTAGTCCGTCTCACGCGACTGGCTAGCGGCGAGCTTGGTAGGGATAGGCGCAGACAGCTCCAAATATCCAAAGTACGGCACATCGTCCCCCTCGTCGCAGCCGGCTCGGACGCAGACGAGCTCAATCTCGGTCAGAATGAAGCCGTACCGGCACGAATGCTCCCGCATGCACCGCTGCAGATGCGCCAGGCCGTTCAAATACTCCACCCGGCGGTGCGGCGCTTCGTTGCGCATCCCCGTGTTCCACCGATCAAAGGTCTTCACGATCCCCACAAGTCGCCCTCGCGGAAGGCCGGAGCTGGTCCGTTCGGTGTCGGAGGCGTAGTTGGCAAGGAAATGCGGACCTCCGTAGTTTTTGTTGCCCGATACCCGTGGGATGGGAGCATCGTACAGCGTCAGATGCTCAGGGCCCTGCGATACCGCCAGCGCCGCGTTCACGCGAGGAGCGTAGATGTCTCTTAGCACATTGATCAGGCCGGCCTCTGAGTCGGGAGACAGGTGCGAGCTGGGCAGGACGTTCACCGGGGTGAATTGTGAGGGGATCGCTGTTTTGAGAAGCTTCGAGAGTCCATCCACTTGGTTGATGGTTTCCAGGGAGAACGACGACCAGCTACGCAGGTTGCGGATATCCCACCAGAAGTAGTCGTGCAGCCCTCGTGTCGGGATCACGCTCACATTGCGAACGAGATTTATCGCCTGAGTGGGTGCCGTAAGGTAGGAAAGTAGCGTGGTCGATTCCTCTTCCATCTGGTGAAAAGATCCAACGGGCGAGCATTGAGCACTTGACGTTCGCGTGCAGCTGTAGGGTGAACCCGGCAGCATCAACGGCATCGGGATCTGAGCGGGCGGCCAGGTTCGAAGATGGGTTGGCTCAGCGGGTGAATGCTCAGCATAAGCTGGATACACTACGATATTCGGGGTGACTGGCGTAATGGGCGCGGTGAGTGCACCCTGAGGCTGGACAGAGCACCTGGTAACTTGCCGGTAAGGTGAAGACCCATACCGGCCCACTTTCGCTTCATCGATGATAGATGTGGATACCGATCGAGAGTGGCCGCCAACGGCTTTGCGCTTGTACGATGGCGTCAGACTCACGGGCGATGACAGAGCTGGGCCGTTCTGTGTCTTGTACATCGGTGGAACCGAAGCAGGCGAAGACAATCCGAGATATTCCGACGCCGTGGCCCGCTGGCTAGACCGTGAGGTGGGGATCATTGGTAGAGCACCCGGAGGGTTGCGTGTGTTGGAGAGAACACGACGCTGACGGGGCGGTCCACTGGTAGATGTTGGCTCAATCACTACATCCTGCGGCCTGATCTTGGGTAGCAGGGCAGGACCGTGGTGATGCCGCGGAGGTGAGCTGATGATAGGACTCGTCGCCACAGTGACAGCTGACCATGGTGAGGAACTATTAGAGTACAGAGAAGAGTCGGATGCGTGGCGGCTATGGCTCGCGCCGATAGATCCTTGCAACTGCATCGCAGGAGGGGTAGATGGCCGATAGTAAGACAGTTCGTGGGACATGATAATGGGCTTAGGGTGATTGAAGGTTCGATATGTGCAAGAAACTCGGCGAATGTATTATCAAGGAAGGACCAGCTTCCAAGTCTGTAACGAAGAGAAGCTTGCTAAAAGCTAAGCAAGAATAGAAGTAGTGAAAGTGATCAAGGAGATGCCGACGTATGCTAAGATTGACTCATGGTCTTCATGAACGCTCACACTGGTCATGGCGCATTTGGATGGAGACGGCTTCGACATTAAATGCTCTTTGCTCTTGCTACCCTTAAGCACCATCTTGTTCCAAAAAAAGGAACAGCATGGCCCGAACCGGCTGCAGATGAGATGAAACATGGGGAGATCTCCATCTTGACGCCAGGCCAGCAGTCAGTCCATCGGTCTAGGGCATGATGGCACGAAGATCGGTCCAGGGACTGCCGACATCTGCTGGAGGGAAGCGCGATGCCAACGGTCCTAGGGCGAGTAGGCGTGTTTCATCTGGCAGTCGCGCGTCAAAGTGTTGCTATATTTTGCATCTTCGTCTCTTCTTTAGATCTGAACCGGAGTGTCGGTTATCGGTGCAGATTTTAGGTCGTCAAGATCTAAAAAAAGACCTAAATTCGGCAGCAATTCCGTTTCATCTATTCTGGGTAATTGCACCTAAGTTGATCGATGTAGTTCGCGAGAGCGTCACGCCTGGTTCGTCAAGGTCAATGGGCGGCAAGAGGGTGTTTATGGGCACAACCGGTTGACCTGGACCAGTATGCCTTCATGGCGCATAGAGGGAGAGTGACTGCAAGGTTAGGCGCCGAGGGGTCTGTGGAACCACAGCTATTTCAACGCGCATTGGCTGTTACTAAGCACGGTCTTCAGTATCAAGCAACAGGCGGCATGGCTTAAACAGCCGATTCATCCTAAGAATACACCCGGGGGAAAGTAGGAAGGAAAGTACCTGGGAATATATGAAGGTCATGCAAGATGTCGCAGTAGGCGCCGGCCAATGTTGACCTCGGCGCCAGGCGGCCTCAGTGGTTCTTCCCTCACGAAAACCTGCAAGGAAGCGTGGGGTTGCCTGAGATTGAGCAATCATGTCAGATCAAGATGTGAATTAGGGAGAATATCTGCTGTACCGTCAGATGTGCAGACAGAGTCAAGTCGCATAAAGATTGCAGAAGAATGAAGAATGAGGAAGCAAGGCCAAGCAGCGGCGAACGATGATCAAGCAACCCGGCGGGAAGTAAAACCACTAGGTTGCTCTCGGTTGACCACCACAGAGCACACTAATTGAGAATAAAAGCATTTTCCAACTTGGTCATTGGATTCTTCACACGGTTGAAGATCTTGAAGCTGACGGAGCGTCTGACTGAGGCGGCTTTCTTTGGCCAAGTAGGCACGTGACTTGACTTATCTTGACTGTCATCGACGGGACAAAACAAACGCCTGCATACTTATACAAACACCAGGAAAGCTTCGGATTGAATAAATCTTTGATTATCTAAGATAAAAGCAAGGCCCCGAGTCTCGTGGGCCGCCTTGTGTAAAATGCATCCCAGCACCCGTCTGGGGAGTCTGAAATCGGCCTCCATCCGAAGGCAACAAATAAAACAATATGTAGAAACATTAATGCGCCATAACATTTGGCATGGGAATCAAACCGAGAACCCGTCAACCTCGAATCCTTCTCAACGAAACTCAATGGCTGGGGGAAGGCAGGCAAACAAAATCATCATGCATGCTGGAGGGAATCTAGAAAGTCGTCTAAAGAACTGATCGTGTCCAAAGAAGCACAGCTAGTCGTCATTTAGGCCTTGACCTCGTACTTGCGGCGGAACATGTCGTCCACCTCAGTCAGGTAGTAAGTGCCCGGAAAGAGGGTCTCCGTGTTGCCGGAGGGCTTGAAGTTCTTCTTCAAGTGAGCGTGCTTGCGGAGGTCGCACATCTAGTCCAGCACAATTAGCATTCTGCAACGAAAGATCAGCGGCTCGATGGGTCCTTACCTCAACATAGGACTGGGGGGGAAGAACAACCCGGCTGTTGAGACGGTTGATCAAGTCGAGCTTCTCAACAATGGTCGAGACATCACCGACAACCTTGGCGCTGAGCATGGAACTAGCGAGACCACTGCCGTAGGAGAAGATACCAACACGCTTGGGCTGGCTAGGGTCGAACTTGACGTAGGACAGCAGACTGGCCAGGCCGGCCCAGACGGTACCAGTGTACATGTTACCGCAGAGAGTGGCAACCTCAATGGCGGGCTTAACACGCTCAGCAAAGCGCTTCTTGGTCAGAGCCATGAAGGTCTTCTCAACGTTCTTGTCGGTGAGGGACTTCTCGTAGTCCAGGTCACGCAGCTCAGGGGCGACCTCGGCGAAATTGGGGTGGGTGGGGTTGGCGAGGAAGTCGTTGTAAAGCATACGGCCGTAGGACTTCTGGACCAGCTTGCAGGTAGGGGCGTGGTAGGCGAAGTAGTCGAAGCGGTCCAGACCGGTATTGGACTCGTTACACAGGCCGTTGGTGCCGTTCTGAGTCTTCTCCTTGAGAACCTTCTCGCGGGCGTTGAAAGCCTTGTAGCAAGCATCCACGGCCTCGGTGTAGCAGCGAAGAGAGAAGTGACCGTCCACGACAGGGTACTCGCTGGTCAGGTCGGGTTTGTAGAAATCGTAGGCGTGAGTGACATAAGAGGCACGCAAAGCGGTGTCGAGCACAATGGGGGCGTCGGGACCGATCAGCATAGCAACACAGCCAGCACCACCAGTGGGGCGGGCAGCACCCTCGGCGTAGAGAGCAATATCACCACAGACAACCACGGCATCTCTGCCATCCCAGGCGGAGGACTCGATCCAGTTGAGACTGTTCAGCACGGCGTTGGTGCCACCATAGCAGGCGTTAACGTTGTCGACACCCTCAACGTTGGTGTTACCGTGGGGAGCCAAGAGCTGCATCAAGACCGACTTGACGGACTTGGACTTGTCCAGAAGGGTCTCAGTGCCAACCTCGAGGCGGCCAATGGAGTTGGGGTCGACGTTGTATTTGCGGAGGAGCGAGGAGAAGGTGGTCAAGCAGATGGAGTAGATATCTTTGGAGAGAAGCACAGTCAGCACTGAGTTCCGCAAAAATTCAACTCAACAGAAGCATACCTTCACGGTCATCGCAGAAGCTCATCTTAGTCTGGCCCAGACCAATGGTGTATTTGCCTTCGCTGACGCCATCGAACTTCTCGAGCTCGGCCTGGTCAACACACTGACGGGGGAAGTAGACCTCAATGGCCTTGATACCGATGTTCTGAGGACGAGCAGCCATGGTGAAATATGGGAGGAGGGAAAGTGGGATGGTGGGGAAGAGTGAAGGTTAATTAGGAGGATTAATGGAATAAGTCCAAGGAGGAAGGAACTTTTTGAAGTGTTCAAGAAAAACCACAGAGAAAGAAAAGAAGAAGGGGTGAGAGGATGGAGGATGCTAGTGAGAATAGGTAATTCAAGAAGAGAGAGAAAGAGGGGGAGAGTCGGTATATAAGTTGTAGGAGTGCAAGCTGGCTGGTACGTACAGAGTGTATCTACAGTGGGGGTTGGTGGACTACGGAGACTGTTAACTACACAGTAAATACTAGCACGTAGCACGTCCCGGGAGTACATTCCAATTTATTTTTTTTTTTAATTTTTTTTTTTGCCCCCGTTCCTTGACCACTTCAGTAGGCTAACAAAACTAGCCTGCAGGGGGTGGGGCTTGCCGAAAGCCCCTGGTTGCTGGTTGGCGGCTTGGTGGCCTGAGGCTGGCCCGAGTCCAGTCTGATTCCTTCTTTTCCTTTTCTTTGCACCACCACATGTTGTGCTGCTGCTGCTGCCCGGTTCCGAATCTACTCATCCTCAACCGCAACGTGGGACCTATAACTATAAATCCTACTCCCATACTGTAATACTATATTGAAGATGAATGGAACTCACCATCCTCCTTTTCCACCCCCCATTTCTGCCTGTGCCATTTAAGATGACGCGGACGAGACAATTTTCTCGGAATGTGCTCCAACAGTCAGATCCACCTCCTAATTTCCACACTGGTTCATCTGAAGGTGTCCAGGATCTGGTATACGCCGTACTCTTCATCCTATCTCCCGATGCGGATGGATGCGAACTGTTTCGATCCAACCACAGCTGGGCCCCTCTCAGCGTATTATTACACAACCTGCCTTGCCCTTGCTTTTAGTCTGACCGACTTGTGTTTGTTATGGAAAGGATCCGTAGCTGAGATTGAATGAGTTTACTTTACCCCCCTCCGTCTCCGTTCCGTGGGTGCTTCCTTTTCACCGACACTTACGGAGGTATATCGCGGTATATTCGGTCCACCACAACAATACACTTAAAAGGGGATTTCCTGCACGGCATTTTGCGAACTGACACCACGTAGTCGCTGAAACTGACAACAAATCAATCCTGTTACTGCAGTAGCTTTGTATGAGCCATCAGACTGCGGGACCAGATCTCATTCCACAATTGGTGGTGTTTTCCTGTGGTGCTCCTCGGTTGCTCTCGGGTGCACATGGTACAGTACAGGAGCATCCCCTAGCATCGGTTGGGTGGTGACGATAGTGGCCTACACCTATTGTTCTCACGGACAATATAGAAACACTCCCGGGGCCTTGAATCCAACACACAAAATTATCTTCTCCCGCTTGTGTGTCTGGACGCATGGTGGGGGGGGGGGTAATCGGTCATTGATCCACCTCGTCCTCTCTTCTAACCACCCCAGTCCCTGCTGTCTTTCGGGTGACTCGGACTTGTGATACGAAGAGCTGAATATCTGTCGAACCTCAACAAGGGAAAGGTATTCTGGACGTCACCATGGTCTGCATTTCTACGTCGGGACTACCCAGCCGGGGGGCCATGCCTAGATACAGTATGTCAGCTTACAACATCGACAGCGACAGCGACAGCGTCAAGGTTCCAAGCACCACCAAACCAGATGCTGGATTTGAAGCTTCATGCCTAATAATATCCACCCGAGGCCGGAGGGTGTGTACGGAGTAGGTTACCAGAGGGATTGGGGCCTGGCGAAATAATCAATCTTATCTTGTGGATCTGGCCGGTGGGATCTGTATAGGACGCTCCGTTCTTGCCGAGATCGCTCTTTGCCCAACCCTCCAATTTGGCAACTTCCCAGACAGGATTTCCTGGTGGGTTCGGATTTCCAAGGAGCGGGATGGAACGATTCTGTTTACCTTATTTGCCCGCTCGCCACCTCGGGTTTTACCTTTCAAAGAATTTCTATCTCTGAAGCCAGGCAAAAAGGTCAATGAGAGTTGGTGATAGGCGTGGCTGCCGTTGCCCCTCTCCTTTGACATCTCACCTTCCAAATTGTGTCTGTTATATGCTCAGAAGAATCCTTGTAGTAATGAGGGTCCACTTGCTGCGCAAGTCCTCGCCATGGCCTCCAATCTTGTTCCAGCTACCAGTGAAGTTGTCAAGGTCGGAATCATTCCGGGTTACAACGGCAGATCCTGACAACCGGAGACAAATTTGAAGATAATGCAGTGTAAGACATTGAATGGTCTGTCTAACCCGAGGGAGATTAGATCGACGTCTGTCTCCGATTTGATGTACACATGTAGGTACTCGAATACTTTCTTCGAACCTCGAAGTAATAAAGGATGATGTCGGCCGCATTTAGGCGCACTAGAAACATTGTAATCGAATCTTTTGAATTGTAAGGCCGTATTTAGGCCTCGCCTTCAATAACTGCACTTTCCTTCCTAAATTGTTGCCAAGCCTATAATCCTAGCACGCCTGCTAGCATTTTCTTACTAATTTAGGGACAGCCATCTTTCTATCCCGCAATGGGTAACAGCGGTAACGTGTCTTGTATGTACATAACGGTACAAATCGGATACCGAACATTCTCGCCGTGATCATGCTGATAAGGGCTGTTTCATGAAGTATGGGATGTGTATTCAGACCTCCGTAATGATACCGCCTACAAGACTTGCGGACCTGCCATTGAATCCTCCTCGTCATGCACAAAAAGATTCTGGTGTTCATGATGCATTATCATCATCGTTGTCACCATCGAGACTACTACATACATCAGCATAACCGTTGACAATGTCGATCCTCGACTGTGTGTGCCCTGACGATCCGGTCGGAAGAAGTCTGATCCAGGAACCCAGAAGAAGAGCCACCGAGGGAACTCTTCTGCCTAAGGAGAGGAGAGCCGAGCCGGAGCCAACTGAACTGAGTGAGTGAACGGATGGATGGACTGCGCCACGCGTTATCCCGTAAGCCTCTCTCTGTCTCTCTGGGCGGCTTGATCCGGGGAAGACCAAACCGAACTCAAACTAATCATCTGTCCTCCACCATCAATCACCTCCCTATCGATCGATCCAGGTCGCAACTGCGCCGTTATTGGGCTTCTTTCATTCTTTTCCTCAAGCCCGGTTGCACTGCTGACCATTCTGGTGGCCATTAATCGCATTCTAGAATCCCCGAACCACCGGCTTCCCCCCCCCCAAATCCCCGTCCCTTTCTACCTTACCCGTTCCCCATCCCCCCCTCCATCGTTTCGGGGGGAACTCCCTTTGCCAATCATTTTCTAGGCTCGCCATTCGGGGAGCATGTTTGCGCTTGTATCCTTTGCCTCATTCAGATCATGATCCCACTGATTCTCCGCTGATTTCTGTATCTGTGATACTATCTACGCCGCACGGCTCCCGGGAGCTCCATACCTCCCGCCATGGGTAACGATCAGAAGTTCGAATACGAATCCCTGCCGATTCCTACCTACGAGGAGGCCATCGGTGCCCGTCCTGGCTCTTCCCGGTCCCATCTCGATTCGTCCGACGAAGCAGGCGACAATGCTGAACGACAAGGCCTTCTTCACCGGAGTGGTCCGGATACCACTCCGCGGGCGGAGGCCCGACCTCGTGGCTATCAGCCTCCCACCGTCGAGTCCGCCCGCAATAGTATCGATGACCTCGACTCGACCGGCTCGAGATCGGAACGAGGGTCCATGGAAGAGTTGCAACGGGAACTCGACCAGATGGACGTGGAAGATGGCCCGCAATCATCCTCTCGCCGCTCACAGTTGCGGTCGCGATTCTCGAAGCGCTTCAACAACTTGACTCGCTCCCTCTCTTCCTTCAACCTACCATTTCGCCGCTTCCTCCCTACGTTTCGGTTCACGATACGTCTCGACGAGGCTCGTGCAGGACTGAAGAACAATGCGTGCATGCTATTACTACGTCTTTTCGGAGTGTTCCTGGTGGTCACCGTTGTTTACATCTTCTTCATATCGGACATCTTCAACATGAATACTCGATTTATCATGGGACAGTCATACAGTGCCGCGTCCGTGGAGAACTTTGTTCAGGGACATATCAACGAGACCAATATCGCCGAGAATCTGAAAAAGCTGACCGCCTACCCTCATATGGCCGGTACGGAAGGTAGTTATGTGCTTGCCGAATGGGTGGAATCGGAGTTCAAAAAGGCGGCGTTCGACGAGGTTGAAATGGAGGAATTCCAGGTATACTTGAACTACCCTACTACCGACGGCAGACGGGTGGCTATTGTGGACCCTCCTCAATTGGCCTGGGAGGCAGCGCTGGAGGAGAAAGAAGAGCAAACGTTGGTTTTCCACGGACATTCAAAATCTGGGAACGTCACGGGTCACCTTGTCTATGCCAATTTCGGCTCTCGCGAGGATTTCCACTACCTAGCAGAGCAAGGCATCGACGTGAATGGATCCATAGCGCTGGTCCGCTATGGAGGCACGGAGTCTGATCGTGCTCTCAAAGTCAAGGCCGCCGAACTTGCTGGCGCGGTAGGCTGCATCATTTATTCGGATCCGGCGCAGGATGGCTTTGTCCAGGGTCCTGCCTACCCCGAGGGACGTTATATGCCGGCCGATGGAACACAACGCGGGGCAGTCAGTCTGATGTCGTGGGTCGTCGGAGATGTCCTCTCGCCCGGGTTTGCCTCTACGCCAGATGAAAAGAAGAGGCTCAAACCAGAGGAAAGCCCGGGACTGACGAGAATTCCCAGCATTCCGCTTGCCTGGCGCGACGCCCAGAGGCTTCTTCAAGTCCTGGATGGCCATGGTGCGCAAGTGCCAGAAAAGTGGGTTGGCGGCGTTCCGGAGGTGAAACAGTGGTGGACGGGAGCCAAGTCCTCGCCAACCGTCAATCTTATGAACCTCCAAGACGAGGTGGAAAGACAGCCCATCTACAACGTGGTTGGCAGGATTATCGGCTTGGAACAACCGGAGAAGAAGATCATCATTGGCAATCACCGTGACTCATGGTGTCTCGGAAGCGCCGACCCTGGCAGCGGTACCGCAGTGTTCCTGGAGCTGGTTCGAGTCTTCGGGGAACTTCTCACCTTCGGCTGGCGTCCTTTGCGCACTATCGAATTCATCAGCTGGGATGCCGAAGAATACAACCTCGTCGGTTCGACAGAGCATGTGGAGAAAGAATTGAAGTCGCTCAAGGAGAACGCTTACGCCTACATCAATGTCGACGTGGGAGTTAGCGGTCACGAATTCGAGGCCGCTGGGTGTCCCATCTTTGAGCGGGTCGTCACGCAGATTCTTGGCCGCATCGCAGATCCCATCAGTAATGAAACCCTGAAGGATTTGTGGCAGAAGAACAAGAAGAGACTGGGTCCGCTGGGAGCCGGGAGCGATTATGTGGCTTTCCAGGATATCGCTGGAACCTCCAGCGTGGACTTTGGCTTCGCTGGCGAACCGTTCCCTTACCACAGCTGCTACGAGAATTATGACTGGATGACGAAATTTGTCGATCCCGAGTTTCAGTACCACAAGATCCTTGGTCAATTTTGGGGTCTTCTGATCCTTCAGATCGCAGACAGCCCAATCCTGCCCTATGACCTCGAAGGCTATGCGAATCACGTGGGTGGTTATGTCAGCGACTTGGAACAGTATGCCAAGTCGAAGAGTGTTCCCATCGCTGAAGCAGCATCGGAGGCCACGGTCACCTTCAAGCCTCTATATGAGGCGGCCGTGAAGTTCAAGGCTGACGCGGAGCACTTCCAGCAGTGGGGTCAGATCTGGCACGATGCTGTTTGGGGCGCTGGCGGATTTGAGAACAACGTGATGGCTGTGCAGCGACTGTCGTATAACGCGCGGATGGCTCATTTTGAGACTAATCTTTTGGACGACCGACCAGATGGCGGAGTAAGTCGTCCTCTCTGCTGAATTCAATATCAAAACTGACTGAGTTTCCTAGGTACCGAACCGCACGCAATTCAAGCACGTGATCTTCGGGCCTGAATTATGGTCTGGCTACGATCCGACCCTTTTCCCAGCCATACGAGACAGTATCGACGCGGGCAACTGGACTCTTACTCAGGAGTGGATTGATCGAGTCTCAGACATCATCTCCAGCGCGAGTAATAGCCTTGTTCACGACTGATACTTTGGGTCCACATGTCGTCTATAATCATTCCACTTTCTATAGAAAATACCCCTCCCCCTCTTGTTTTTCTGTCTGTCTCAGCTGCGGTGGCCACCAAGCAGCACCACATCACACCTGTTATATACATGCTCACCTTTCACACCACCAACTCCACTGCACAGTCTCCCTCTGTTTTTTGTTCTATGTTCCATTCTGTGTGTATCATTTGCGCCGCATCTTGAGAGAATCTGGCCTCACAAATAACCCCCTCCCCCCATCCCGCCCGTAGATAGACCACCACACATCATTCCCTTGGAGGAACATGAACATACTGGCATGTTCTTCGAAGTGCTTCTTTCTTTTCCCTTCTTGACAACCATGTCTCCTGGCCTCTTATCTCTCTGTACCTATCTTCTCAATCTATACGGTGTTCCTTACTGTTTCCTAGACTTAATTCTGATTCTGATTACCTTTGACGAGGTACTGCTCCTGAATTATGGGTGGTTGTCTCGATTTAAGGGTCGGATATATAAATCTGATTCATCTTGCGCAAATGCATCCTCTACCTCCCGCCTCCCGCCGCTTTGCTTTCTTGTTTATGCGGAAAGGTTTCATCGCAGCCAAACAAGCACTCAGAGATAACTCAGCAAGAACCATGAACCCACCTGCAGCTAGCCAGTGCACCCCCGTTTCGCTTAAGACTGTTCAGGACCTTGACTCAACTCGACAAAACCATCCGTCCTTCTCAATCCCGCGTGCTGGCTAGATCCCAAGGCAACCACCTCTACCCAGCATGCCTAGCTTACTTACCTACTCACGACTAAGCTCGTGTACTGTACCGTACTGTATCTATCCGCCGATACATCCCTCGAATCCAGCCAGAGAATGGGAAATGGGTTGCGGGTTTATAGAGGATTTACTCGGGTCTAGATCGTGGTCCTTATTATCCTGTGTTTTCTTCGTCTTGTTTTTCTTTATTTCTGGACCGGGACGAAACAACCACAGCTGTGTTTAAAGCCGCAGATCAATCTGCCCTGCCCTGCCCTGCCCTGCCCTGCCCCATCATGAGATTAGTCGGGGATGCCCCTCCCCTCATTCGACCCAACTCATCCGTTTACGTTACCCAGTAGGCAGGAATCGTAGGGCCCGGTGGGTGATTGACCGGATTGACATCCTGACACTGTAGTCTGTGCCGGAAGACTAGAGTAGAGTAGAGTAGACTAGAGTACTACGAAGAATCTTCGAGCTCCTGCCCTCAGAACCGGGGCCCCGGATAAACCAAACCCTAAGAACACCGTCCCCCATTCCCAGATGTAAGCATCAACGAACGATTAGGAATCAAAAGTAATCGTTTACCGATTGCCAAAAGCCCATGTAGCCCTTACTCATGTAACGGAAGATATATCTAGATCTTACAGACCATCCTACACTATCTTGTCTTCGATTTTCTTTCCCATTGACAAGGCGTCTATCTATCTGGAGAGTCAAGCACATATCTATAGATATTCTGACAGGGTAGGGAAGTAAGTACGATACCATAGGGCTACAACCCAATCCAGTTCACCCCGCCTCAAGATCGAGGAAAAGAAACCAACCGTGTCAATATAATAAGCACTAGGTGTAGTTTGTACTATACTGTACTGTACTGTACGTTCATGACGAAAACAACAGACAATGGAAAAAAAAACCAGACCGCCCAGATGAACATGAACAAGGAGACGCCGGAGTTGACATGTATTAGAACTCGGAACAGTACCAGAAACTAGAAAAACAAACACCCTTGAATGCTGTATGTGAAAACTTGCGCCGTGTCTCTTTTATGTGTGTCAAGATCAATATCCATCGGCCCAGTTAAAAAAGCCCTGATTTATATATACAATACATGTGCTCTGGAGGTATGAGTGGAACAGGAAAAAAAGAAGATGAAGGTGAATTCGGAATGCGGGATTAGGATTGATGCATTATTGAAGGTATGGATCGTCCCCAGGGTGTATATGCTTGTGGGCCATTGACAGGTTTGGAAGGGAAGAGGTGTAAAGGAGGATTTTGGTTAGGTCGTGTCGTATGATATAAAAGGTTATCGTTTCGGAGGTCGTCTGCGGGAGGTGGCTGGACTGTACAAGCCATCATCACTTGCGGAAACTCTCAACGCCCAGCGTTGGGGTTTCGACCAATCGATCGCAGGGCACGCCCTCATCGCGACGGCGGGCGAAGAAGTTATCGCACTCCGACACAATCTGTGCCCATTCCGCTAGTGCTCGGCCCGCGTATTTGCTCGCCGCGAACCGATCGTTCAGGGCAAGCTTGAAGTCTAGCCCATCCGTCGTCTTGTCGGAGTCAGCCGTGTCCTCCGTCGGCGTCTCGTCCTGGTCGTCGGAGTAGGGGCTGGTCTGTCGTCCGTCACTCATGGCGTCATCATCGCCCTCGGTAGCGGACACGTATTCGGAGGTTGTATCACACTCCGATTGCTTGGCCAGGGCCTTGCGCAGCTGGAGATGTAGTTGTGACCCCACGGGAAGGCAAGGGGTAAATAGTCGCTTGTTTTTACTCGGCCACTGAGGCCGGTCCATCCATTCCAGCGAGAATTTGAATGAGTACGGCTGATGCGCTGTGCGAGGCCGCCCCAGCTCCCCGGGCCCGTTGGGCTGCCGCCACTGATTGTCTGGTGGCTTCTCTGCCGTCCCCACCGCATCAGAACCAGAGGAGTCTGACTCATCGGAACTACTGGACGAAGACCCTTCACCGCCAGTTCTCGAATTCGACGACCCTCCAAACATGGCTCTCAGAATACTCCATTTCTTCTTGGTGGGTGGCTGGTTCTCCGCGGGCTCCGGCTTCGATAACGCACTACCTGCGAGAGTTGATTTCTCCGCTGGAGCCGGAGGTATGACGCGATCGAAGGATACAAAGAAACTAGACGGAGACAGCTGGTTATCGCAGCGAATGATGATGATCCTACGCCCCGGTGCCGGGGTACAGGGAGCGGACGACAATGGTGCCGAGATCTCTTCCTCGGCTTTGGCCTGGAAAGCCTGATAGTACTTCCAGGTCCGCTGCAGCCGGTTGTAGAGTGTCTCATATATGGTGGTGTCGAGCATGGTCGGGTCGTCACTAAATCGACCTAATCTCCAACACAGCAGACGCTGGAAGTATGCTCGAACCATGGGACTCCAGTGACTGAAATAATGGTAGAACAGAGACTCGTCCAGGAGGAACTTCAGACAGAGGTCGGCTTTCCTCTCTTCCGAGGCGGTCCAAGTACTCCAGATGCAGAAGAGAAAAGCGAACACGCGCACCTCAGTAAGAGAGTTGTGGCTTTGCATCATCTGACGGCAGACCTCCAACCAGAACTTCCAATCGAATAAGTCGGCTTCGATGGAAAGAGAATATCGGGTGACGATTGGGATGACTTCTTCGACGAAGTCACACAGAAGGAAGCACGCGTTATGATCGAAAAGCGACGTTTTCTCCGCAGCAGCCCTCATTATGGTACCAAAGGACTCCGCATACAATAGCCTGGCATGATTCGGCTCGAGGGAGGATTCGGAGAGAAAATCCCGCAGCAGGATGATGAGACGGTTTTCAGCCATCAATCGATGGCTGTTCGCGGTCCCCAAGGGCAGCGCCGAGACAGCTGCATCAGCACCCTCAATGAAATCGTCGAACGTGACAGCGGACGCGGTGTGGGTGCTGTCTGGCACCTGGGGTACTGATTGCTTGTACAGTGTATCCTCTAAAACGACCAGAAGCTGCGAGTGGATTGGTAACAGGCCAGGTGCCAGGATACGCTTTGACTTTTCTAGCTCCGGTGGCAGCGCATCCGCATAAAGCACATGAATGTATTTGACAAAGACAAAGAAGAGATCGGTGTCTCGACCGCACCATCGAGTTGCCCAAGGGCTCTGCCACGGGATTTGAGCGGTACTCAGTGGAACATCGGGCTTTTGGCGAAGATATCGAACAAGTGCCGTGTGAGCGTAGAACGATAGACTGCGCAAGGCGGCCGGGAAGTTTGCGGTGAGTTCCTGGGCCAACGCGCGGGTTCCGCTACCCTTGTCCAGTTTTGACTGGTCAAGTACTCGCCGGAAGACGCTCGGTGGTGTGTTCCACAGTCGCACAAGAATATCTGCCACGCCAGGGCAGAAAAAGAATGCATAGGCACAGGCTTTCCCGCAAAAAGCGACCAAGCTGGCCGGAGCATGTCTCATCGACATCCGCTCCACCACGAAAGCCATCTGGGAGAGCAGGTTCTGAATGAAGATATTCCTGATATTGTGGTGGATAGATTCCAGAAGGAAGTCCGAGCTTGAGGAACCATCCGACGACTCCGATATCGACGTCGATGCATGTGTCAAGGACCTAGAGAAATTTCGACTCGACGGAGGCATGGGAAATGGTATTCTCCATTCCGGGCGCGTCATTATTCCTACCACCGCTTCCAGATACACGGGTCTATCGGTTCCAGATATTGACTGATTGTTCTTGCCGTTCAGCATCTCCATCAATCCAATCCACCATTTGTTGAGAATATTGACTCGGCGATCTAGGTCTTCAGGTCGCAACTGTTTGAACGACGAGTGCGAATGGCTGCGGTTGAGAAAGGGTAGTAGGGAAGAGCGAATGACATTTGCCTTCAAAGCACTGGACTTGGACTGGAACCTGGACAATGGTAAGAAAAGATGTCCCACACGAATATCCCTGTCAACAAACTCACTTTTGAAAATCAGCCTCGAGATTGCGGAACACTCCCCACAAATCATCCTTCTTCCGCGGAAATTCCATGCTAGCGGCCAGATTCGCGGTGGCTGGTGTTTTGGGCACTGGTGGGAGCACGGGTGTCGAAACGTTGAGCGATGCGGCTAGCTTTTCTAACGATGTTTTCGGCATCAGCGACTGAGGCGATGAGTTGCTGGGAGAACTCGATCCATCGAATCGGCTCTGAGTAACGACAGCAACCATGGGGCGCCGCGGGCGCTTGTTCAGTATAGTTCTTCGTCGTGTGGGAGCCGCGCTTTCAGATTCGGTGCCCGAGTCCGACTGCAGACTCGACCGCGATGATCTGGATGATGCTACCGGCGGATTCAATGTCGATTGCTCCTCCGTTCGCAGGGACCGAAGCCGAGAGCTCTTCCCGGATGGAGGCGAGTTCGACAGCCAGGGTTTCCGGGCCAAACTGACGAGTCTCCCTGACATCGATCGAGCTTTGGAGGGACGGGCTACCGGCGACGGGGGTCTCGTTGCGGTGGGTTTTTTGGCTGGTAATGAGGTCGCTTCTGAGCCGGTTGTCGAGTCGGACAAGTCCTCCGCGGATACAGTGAACCGCGAGACGGCAATGGTGGGCTTGTTCTTGGAACGGATGGAAGTCCGTCGCAAGATATCCTTACCCGCTGCTACATCCTCTTTTGACAGTGAATCCGACTGGGTGGGATGTGTGAGATCAGAGAATGTTCTTCGGAGGCCAGGGTGAGCGGCTGCTTGTGCTGCCGCGAGGTCAGGAAGGTGGTTGTAACTGGCGGCGTGATTGAGAAAGGCATGTTCGTCATTGGGTTGAGTCATGACAATTTCGGAAGAAGACATGGCCGGGGTTCGTTCGTTCGGGTTATGAAACGGTGACTGTAAAGGGCCCTAGAAAGATGCACATCTCCCCTCCAGCAGAGAATTGATGGTAGCTCAGGTGGACGGTTGGGAGGCCAGCTCCTCTAGGTACAGCAACTGCACAACAGACGAGATTAAACCATGCGCTCAAAGACTTTTCCCTCCTAGCATTAAAAGTAGCGATCACTGCAAGTGGGTTGCTGGAAACAAGGCGCGGAGGCTGTGGAGGGGAGGGCGGGTTGGCGATGGATTATGGCGGTGCAGGCAGAACGTCCGGGCAGGCAGAAAGGAACAAGCGAATACGACAGTGGTGGATCACCGGGCGCTCGAGCTGAATGTTCTCCCAAGAAGCTGAAATTTCGAGGCTCGACAATCTGTCAGACAGATAGACAGGAATTAGTTAATGCTGCCAATGGTGACAGAGAGCTGCGCGCGCTGTCGTTTTGGCGGACGGGGAAGAATTGCGGCGTTTCGGGGGGGTCGGGAGGCTGGAGTATAGCGGCGGAGAAGTGGATTGAGCGAGGGGCAGGGTTGGACGCCGTGGTAACGAGGGGGAACAACAAATTTTTCTAGGAAACGACAGGGCTGGGGGAGTGCGAAAGCGAATGGAGATTTAACGAGAAAACGAAGACGATTTTGAAGAAGTATGGTGGTGGAGCAGGAGAAGTTTAAACAAGAGAGAGAGAGAGCGGATGAGGGAGAGAGGGAGAAGAAGAGGGAGAGAGCAGCCAGAGAGCGAAGGGGAGGGACGGACAGGAGAGAGTGTCAGAGAGTAAGTAAGAATAGGGAAAGGGAAATCCGGGCAGCGCAACAGGCGGGCTCAAGGCAGAAATACGGGTCTCTTACAACGCCAACAATCCCCTCCACCGTGAGATTGAGTTGTTTGTCTCTTTCGGTTTCTTATCTCCTTCTTCGTCTCTTCGCCTATAATTCCCATAGATTGGGCGCAAGAGGGGACAGCGAGGGGAGAGGCAAAGAAATTTCAAAGTGAAGCGTCCCTTTCAGCTTTCTTTATTTCGGGCCCGAGAACAGCAGCAGCAGCAACAGCAACAGCAACAACAGTAGCAATAGTGATCGCAACAACAAAAGCAGACCAAGATAAGGGTGAAGAAAGGACCGACTCGATTGAAGATGGGACTTTCTCCACGTTTAAGGATTCAAAGGGAGAGAGAGGTTCCAGCCTGTTGATGTCGAAGCCGTCTGTTCCTGAATTAGGTTTGTGGTTTGTGGTTTGTGGTTTGTAGTTCGTGATTCAATGTGGGAGGAAAAACGACGATTTTATTATTATTTTTATTTGGATTTATTATTTTTCTCCCCATTTCCTAGCTGCATCTGATGGTGGTTGAATGATGATGAATTGAGATGAACCGAATTGACATGAGTGTCCTGCCTCGTCCTATCCTGTCCACAACGCATGATTGATTACTTCGATTCGATTGACAACAAGGTATTGATACCAGCCTGTTGTAACTTGCAACTCGACTACGTACCCCTACAAGCCCACCTCGTCTCCCCACCCCAGACCACTTCCAACCCTGGATCTAGGAATCGAATCTTTGACTCTTCTCCTCTTTATGAAATGATAGTCCTCGTATCCTCCTCTTTGATTTTGTAATACTCAACATCATCATCATCATGATGATTACTCATGAAATCACACCCTTGTGGGAAAGCCAGTATGATGATGATTACTCATGAAATCACACCCTTGTGGGAAAGCCAGTCTCGATACCTATAAATACCTGGAATCCCTGGAAGGCGACTTGACTCCCCCCCTCCAGCCTTGCATTCTGGGGGAGCGGAATCTTTCAATAATCGTTGTCATGATGAATCACCCTACAGAAGGGGATTGACTCTGTCGGTACAGTGCTTGCTATGAATAACTACACTAGCTATCAGTAGGTTTGACCCCAAGGGACCAATGCTTAGTCTTTGCGTTCTGGTTAAGACAGAGAGGACTATACATGCAGTAGATCGGTCGATAGGGCCTGTACTGTACATACTGTACATACATACGAGACATTACATACACCAGCATCCAGCACTCAGCATTTCTGTCCCCATCACTGCTCAGTGGAAAGTGGATGCTGCTGCTGCTGCTGCTGCTGCATGCACGTCCAGCCGACAGAGAAGAGGTGTCTAGAGATAGTCAGATATTACTTACTATCTAAGTTAGTAGTTGGTGGTGTAGGTGAGAGACTGCTGACGGTTTCCTCCTACTGTAGTCCCCTACCAACCAGGTTATACATAGTTATCTCTCCTCCGTACAGTACCGAGTACTCCTCCCGTACTGGCTACTCCATACTTCCGGCATGGCGACAACGAAGAAAAAAAAAAAAGACCAAGGACCCTGGAGCTAGGAAGGCCAAAACGGATTCAACCCTATATGGGAAGAGGGAGGGGGCAGAGGACAGGGTCAGGGACAAGGAAGAGAAGGGGAAGGGGGGGCGCGGACAACCGGCTTGAAACCAACTATGAGTAATGGATCGCGCGTAGAAAAACTTGGCACTGCCAAATTTCCCGTCCAAAAAGTAGGCCAAAACAGTAAAAAAGAAAGAGGATCTTTAGAGTGTACACGGAGTACTGTACCTTGACTCCTGTCATGATGCAATTCCTCCTATAAATAATGTCTCCTCTCCTACGGCGGTATGGAGTACAGTACCTACGAGTACTCTGGTTGTTTCCCTGTTGACTTGGCTACTACTAAGCCGGCTTTGCTTTGCCCCATCCGGGCCCCATAAAACCTACCGACCCCATCGTGTTGGTCCCCAAATGGAGATGAGACCATTCTATCTGGATCGTCTCTCATTCTACTACTGTACTCATCGTCTCTCCTGATTCTTCAGCAATGTCGAAGGAGGAGAACGGATGTACTGACTCCGGTGCCTCCAATCTAATCGTTATCCTTGATTATCATTGAAACAGTGGCGGATTCCTCTGCGCAATCTGGTTTATCCCCGAAGAATGTCGCACAGCCATAATCGGTCCACCGGGAAACCACTGTCTGCATTCCAGGATTGTCTTCGGTCAACGTCAGGCGGTGGGATTGAATGCAGGTGAAGTGTGTGACAGTTACAAAGATAGTGAGCTGCTTCATGGTTGAGTGAACTGGCTGGCCGAAAGAGCCAGCAGCAGTCTTGCAGCACCCCAGCCACCCAAAGTTATAGCCACCTACCGGCGGAATGGGATATCTCTCCCGGTTCAGGTTCTTCGTGTCTTATGTCCACTAAGGGATCGACTCTGCAGGCTGTGTGTGTTCGGTGGGTATGCCACTAGATCTATTTAAACCTTGATAAACCTCAGGATGAGATGTTGTCAACATATCGACTGTGCATTGGCTGAACGAAGAGACTATTGCACCATAGCTTGGTATTTCTCCTGCGCACGGGGAAGTCAAACCCTTCCGACGAAGAGTAAGTGTTTTTTTTTCTGCTTCAAAGAAAAAAGTGTCCATCAAAGTAAACTTTCGACAAAGAAGGGAAAAACCCGGACTGGATGATCTGTAACCGAAGCTAAGAAACACAGCTGGGAGAGCGGTCTGAGAGTCGTGCTGGAGCTGTCATATCTCGTCCGGCACCCGATGAAGAAGAAGAAGAACGACCACTCCCTAACCCCCCCCTGCGTCCAGTCCAATTCGACAGATCTCATCTGCAATGCTTCTCATCCTTAAATTTTGGTGGATGGTTGATGAATTTCGATTGCGTGATGCATTTCTTATTTGGATTCGCCCGATGCAGACGGGGGAAACACGTTATTGATCTGCTGCCCTTGACTCAAGCCCAAATGTAAGCTGTAAGGTAGGGGGATGTGCATCCCTTGCGAATCCGAAGCGAGGTACGTATTCCGGTAGTTAAGGTAGTCGGTGTCCCCGGCGCCCATGTGCCCTTCTGGATGGGCTGAATGGGCTGAATGGGCGGGCTGGCTGGCTGGCTCCAGCTGTGTTTGGCCCTTTGCACACGTCGCACGATGGGGTCATGAGTGCAGCCGGCCATTCTTATCCCGACCAGTTCGTATCAGGTTTGTCGGGCGGGGAACAATGGGGACGTGTGCGCTTTCTGGTCTCAAGTATTCCAGTAGCTAGTTACTTGGTTTTACCTTTTTCCCACATAGTACAGTACATGGTACGGAGTACGACTCTACTTTATCAATCGGATCGGATCGATCGATTCCGCCCTACCGCCCCAACCCAGTGGCCTTAGGCTCGCAAATCTCTGTTGCCTAGCCCTGCTCCGGGGTAACGCCCAGTGGCTGGCTTGAGGCTAATGGGGCTGGTATAACATGATAGATGCCCTCCAGTGCACTACACGCAGTCTCGACCTCGTACGACCCATCCATCCATGACTGCACATCCGAATTCAAATTCAGGTTCAAAGAAAGAAAAAGAACTTCATATGCTCCAAATAGGTTTTAATTTACAAAGTGACCTTCGGAGGCACAACAACCGGGAGACAGCTCATCACATCGGTCTCATCACGTTTGCCCATTAGCCCCGAGATATCCTTCTATCTTGCCGTCTAGACAAGCAACCTAGTGGGCAGCGGGAGTCTCCACCTCCTCCTCGAACCAGCTCTCCTCAGCGGGGGCAGCCTCACCAGCGGCGGCCTGACCCTCGACCTCGACCTCCTGGCTCTCGTAGGACTTCAGCTCACTGGCAAGGTTGGCCTCCTCGGGGGACTGGGGAGCGGCAGGGGGGGAGAACTTCAGGACGTGAGCATCGGCATCACCGGGCTTGATGGGAGTGGGCTTGTAGGCGCGGAGTTCACGGAGGTAGAGGTCCTGAACAGGGTCGGCTGCGAAAGAGAGAACGTTAGACTTGCGTCGTAGGGAGCACGCCGGGTCGAACATCGCGAGGCCAATGCGACTACACGACCATTTCCCGAAAGTTGACAACGGCGGCAGAACAAGGAGATGGATCACCTACCCTGACGGATGGCGGAGGTCAGGAAAGTGCGGCGGGCAACAGAAACCTGTTGCCGAGAGACGCGGGTGAAGAGAGAGCGCTACCAGAAAGGGTCAGTCACACGGAGGAGGACTATACCGCCAACCACGGAGGAAATATTGCGGTGAACTCACGGAAGCTCTGAGAGACTGGGACATCATCGCGACGGAGAGAGGGGGGAGATAGACGAGGGGAAACTCGAGGTGGGTGGGTTTCTGCGAGGAGAGCAATTGCTGTCGACCGTGATTGAAAGCCGATGTTGGAAGTTCGACGTTTGTTCGGGAGGCTTCGGCTTGGCGGGCTGAGTCAGCAGCGGCTGCGGCTCAACTGTCTTTCAGGTCAGGTGCTTTCTGCCTGCAATCCTCCGCTTGCTTACCTGATTCTCCTCTCTCACTTCACTCTCGTCCTTTTTGTTCTTCGTCCCTCAACCTCCCAACTCCCTCTCTTCCCTCCTCCTTTCCCCTCCTCTTGGACAGGTCTATTTCCACCACCTATCCGGCCTCTCTTGTCTGAGAATCCGACACGTCTACGTCGCTCTGCTCGTTTCTGGTCTTCCCGATCATAACGTGCAGCTGCTACCTGTCAGGTTCTGCGGCCCATTTTTCCGTGAGACTGTAATCGTTCACGGAGACCTTGACTGGTTCATCGCGGTCGGACAAGCTTGGCCTCAAGGCGTGCGAAGACCCTCGAGTGACGGAGATTGATTAGTGACGGCACCTCCCCTGGGAACGTGCTATCTGGAGTTGGGGAACTGTTCGCAGGACTAAGAGTCCTTTACCTGCTCTGAAAGGTAAAGATGCATCAGTTCACCATGGAATTTGATCCCATCTCTGAGGTGTAGTCAAGGCGTCGGTGGCAGCTGGTCTGGTAGTGGCCCTGCCTGCTCATCGTCCAAGCCCATGTCTAGTCCTCATATCCTCCTTCTGCTGGGAGTTGTCTTCATCTTGCTTGGAAAGGGTTTGCAGCAGGCTAACATGAGAACGAAAGCCAGTGAGACGCAGAGACGTGACTTGCTCGCGAGACCTCACGATCCGCGCCGCTGCTCCCTTTGCGTTGTTGCTGGAGAGGATTTGAATCCTCTGTTGACGAAGAACAGTCGCCACGCTGTTCTCGCCGCTTTACATTCGTTGGTGTGCGCGCAAACATAAGCCGCTCTATTCCAGGAAATCCGCGAAAGTCAAGCCGGCGCCAACCCAACAGTCCATCGCAGAGACCACGATACGAACAGAGAAAATGGCCACCCAGAAAGCTGAGCCGCAATGGAAGAAGAATCTTTCCGCCCACATCATCTGCCCCGAGTGCAAAGAGGTGCCCCCGAACCTCGAGTTCCCCGGCTCTCACGAAACTGTTTGCGGATCCTGCGGGCTGGTGCTTGCTGATCGAGAAATCGACATGCATTCCGAATGGCGTACCTTTTCGAACGATGACCAGAACAACGATGATCCATCTCGTGTTGGAGACGCAACGAACCCGCTACTCAATGGTGACCAGTTGGAAACTCAGATTGCCAGCGGTGGCTCGGGTCGAGTGCGCGACCTCTACCGCGCTCAGAACAAGCAGTCGAGTGAAAAGGCCAACAAGGCCCTCCTGGCGGCGTACAAGGAAATTGGCGCGCTCTGCGACGGTTTCAATATCCAGAAGAACGTTGCAGACACCGCCAAGTATCTGTTCAAGATTGTCGATGACGCCAAGGCTTTCAAGGGCAAATCGCAAGACGTGATCATCGCCGGTTGTATCTTCATTGCGTGTCGTCAATGCAAGGTGCCCCGTACCTTCACCGAGATCTTCGCTGTCACGAAGGTCACGCGAAAGGAGATTGGACGCATCTACAAGGCTTTGGAGAAGTTCTTCACGGCACAAAACCTCGAGCGGATCAACGCCGTGGTTTCGAGCGGTGGTGTCCCCGATCCCAACGACACCTACACCGCGACCACCTCCACCAAGCCCAGCGATCTCTGCAACCGTTTCTGCAACCTTCTCGATCTTCCCTTCCAAGTCACCAGCGTCTCCTCTGCTCTTTCCGATCGCGTCACCACCATGGGCGATCTGGCCGGCCGTTCTCCTCTGTCCATCGTGGCCGCCTGCATCTACATGGCTTCGTACCTGATGGGCCACGGCAAGTCCGCCAAGGAGATCTCCCAGGTGGCCCACGTCAGCGATGGCACCATCCGTGGCGCATATAAGCAGCTTTACGCCGAGCGTGAGCGCTTGATCGACCCCGAGTGGATCAAAGAAGGCAAGGGTGACCTGAAGAACTTGCCCGCTAGCTGAATCGTCATGCCCTCCTCCCTTCCTGATTGAAGCAAAAGCGTAAGGAAACCCCGGGCAGCCGCAATTTGCCTTCAAAATTGCTCTGATCTTTCCCAACTTTAGCGACCCCCCATCCTCATCCTTTCAAATCCTCGTATATCTAGTTTCAGCCTTTAACCACTGGTGTGCGCCTACAGACCAAAACAAGAAAAAAAGACCAAAAAAAATTTCAAATGAAAGATACCCTTTTTCTCAAAGAAACCATTCTCCGTACTTTTTCACTCTACCCTTCCAGTCCCTCCTTCCAGATCATCCATTAGCAAAGAAGAGTTAAAACTAGTTAACTGAAGTGTTCATAATATATGCTTTTGTTGCTATTACCGCCACAAATGAAACACCATTCATAATCCCGCAAGTTGCTACTCTAACCCCCATCTCTGTGTGTTTTTTTTTCGCTTTTGAGTTGCTTTGAGTTCCTTTTGAGTAATCGATCGGTCGATGCCATTCCTTGTTTCATGCTCTACCCGAAGCATCACATCACGCCCACAGTTAGATCATGCCCTACTTTCTTTCTGCGGGTTAATCGTCATCCGGCCAGCCAGTCAGTAGCCAGTTAGTCATTCAGTCATGTGGATAGCTATAACAGATAACTACTGTACTTAGTCTTGAAATGCCAAGCGGACTTCGGGTTCATCAGTGCTGTGTGTGTAATGTACTGTACTGTATATTTACTGAACTACCTACCTATCTACCTGGCTGGGTATCGGTGGATTAATCGTTGATCTGTAGTACGTTATTACCGTATGTTCCTATGTGTTCATTCCGGATTTCAAATGCCGTTATCAAGGGTAGAATGCAGAGTTGGGAAGGGAAGGGGGGGGGGAACCTTGAAGACATTAGGGCTCTATGGCTGATACAGTTCTGTACCCATATCTGGGATAGATCGATTGGCGCGGTGCGGTACTATGCTGCTATACGAGGTAGATGGTGCGATCATAGGGGATATATAGTCATGGATGTTGAGGCGTGTATAACGCAACGCGAGCTGCCGGCAGGCGAGAAGTATAGATGCGATGCTGATTTCAAGATGGCTGGATAGTCTGTGGATACTTCAATCTATTGTTTTGCATAGATAGGTATGTGGCTACATATGGACAGGTACACTATTCAGTAGTGCAAATCGGCTGGCTACTGCCTACACTTGTACGCAACGGCGTGTTTCTGTTTTCTTGCTCCTCCTGTTTATTTTATACACGGGTCCTATCACTAGTATTAGGTTCATAAGACAGACAGACATACATTAGCACACGGCAATGAAAATGAGATGATTAAGATACTGGAGCAAAACCACTGCATGCGATTGTCTGATGCTTTACGGTCGCCCATCCATACAATGTCTCAGTTGTCGAGGGTCTCGCCAATATCACCCTCCGACGGCCTCTTGCCGTCAGCAGAAGCAGATAGTCGTGCTGCAATGTCGTCGATGGGCGATCCGTCAGGCGGGGACACGATGGTGGGTTTCCCGGCAGATAGATCGTCTGTGGTGACAGGGTCGACGGCAGGGGCCGGCGCGGCCGTGCTGTTGTCGTCAGCTAGCGGGATGGAGTGCTTCGCTTCGGTGAATGTCGGTTCCGGTACGGGCTCGGGCAGAGTTTCTTGCGTCGGGCTGACGTCTGCTGGAGCTGCAGCTGGAGCGACGGCGCCGGGCGATACTGGCTCGTCTTGGGCTTCCTCTTTCTTGAGAGCGGTGGTGGGAGCTTGGGGCTCGGCCGGTTCACCGGCAAGATTCTTAGCGATGGGAGGTGCCATGGCTTCCGGGGAGGTTGTCTCAGAAGGCGACGGGGCTGGGGTCGGCTTCTCGTCACCGACGGTCAGGGTTCCGTCTTCACCCATTTGCCACACGTTCCAGGTCTCCGTGATCTTGACCTCGGAGATGGTCGGTAGCCTTGCGGGCGTCTTTTCGACAGCTGGCTTCCGCCTGGCGGGACCACGCGCACGGCCTTTCCGGGCATCACTGAGCGGTACTTTCTCGGCTGGCGCCTCGTCTTCCTTCTTCTCCTGTGGTTTAGGGGGCGCTTGTGGGCCGAGCTGGAGCCGCGAGTTCAAGTCGGACAGGAACCCGGCCTTCAAAGCGGCAATCTTACTTCCACCGGGCCGTGCGGGAATGGCTGGCTTGGGTTTAGCGGCAATATCCTTGGCCTCTTCAGGGCTGGCGCGCGAAAGAGGTTTGGAGGGCCGGGCCGGAATTTGCGGCTTCGGTCTGTCGGGAATCGAGGGAGGTTGTCGCTTATCTGTAGGAGAAGTGACCGGCTTCGAGGAAGCATCCACCGGAGGAGCCTGTCCCGGGCGTTTTAGCGGCCGGAGGGGAATGCTGGGCTTTGAGGGAACCTCCGGGCTCTTGACCTCTTCATCTGCCGGTTGGACTGTCGTCACTAGCGTATGACTTTCGGGCGCATCTTCCCAGATATCTCGACTCGGAAACCGCTGCTTAGAGATCTCAGGGCGTGAAGGCCTGCCTTCCCGATCGTCCGTTCCCAGAATGTGTGAAGCGACTTTGTGAGCGTCAATCTGAGGCGCCTGGCTCTTGCGCTTCGACTCTTGCTCGGGTGTTTCAAAAGCCTCCTCCTTGGGGATGTCCGGCGTAGATACAGTGGCAGATAGTTGCAAGCTGTTGGGCGAATCCTCCCAGATGTCTTGGCTGGGAAAGCGGTGCTTCAATCGATCCGGACGCTGCTTGAAGCGCTCTGCGGGAGTGATGGGCTTCTGATCCTTAGACTCGTCCTCGGGGAAAAGAGGCTCGTATTCCTCGACATCCTCAAGCGGCGTATGTGTGCCTTCGTGCTCGTCACGCGAGTTGTATCTCGCCAAAGCTGGCATACCGCTGTGAATACTAGCCGTCCTGCTGTTCGAACGGCTGTGGGTCACGCTTGGAGTGCGGCTTCTTCCTTCATAGTC